TTACCTTCCTTTTCCTCCCTTATTATTTCTTTCTCTCAGCTCTGTGAAATTTCTTTTTCACTCCCCAACCACCTTCTTTCCTTATTGAGGGGCTAATCCCAGCTGAGTCTTTTCCAGCGAACCAAATAGGAGTTTGCTTGAATGACAGACACACATGGTGAGGTGTGTCCAAGATCCAGAGGAGGTCTCAGACCAACTTGGATTTGTTCTGTGCTAGGAAAAGAGCATCTGTCTTTGTTCTGGTATTCAGCTCATCCAAATAAAGAAGGCATTTCCTCTCCTGAAAGGCAGAAAGAAAAGACAAAAAAGAAAAAGGAAAAAAAAAAAATAGATTTTAACCATGTACTCCTCTGAAACTAAATATATGCCCCTTCCTCTGTCCTGATTGGTCCGCTTCAATTGACAAGTGATTGTGTTTAAAGGAAATATCCTGGACTTAATTGTAAGTTAAGTCTCTCTTAATCCAGAAGAGCATTTGAGATTCTGTCCAAGTGTTCAATTTCCCAGGCCGCTGAGGTCTGTGAATTTCTTTTCCCAGCCTCCAGGCTGCTGCAGTACAAGTCAGCATAGCTAATGCAGATAGATCTCCTGCCTCTCGCTCTCCTCCTCCCTCTGCTTTGATTCGATATGAACAGCCTGGTAACTCTGATGCTGGGGAGAAATCTGACATAACTCTGCAGATGGCTAGGTTGCCATGAAACACCTGGGGATTGTTCTTTAAGGAAAAGGTAACATTTATGTGCTAATGATTTCTTCCCCCCCTCCCCTCCTTGTTGCATTTTTTCCAGGGCTGCCGGTTCCCAAGAAGAGCCCAAAGTCGGTAAGGACTTGTCAGTTACTTGGTGCTGCTTTGGGGCTGTGGGAGGCGGTTGGCAGTGGGAGGGGATGCTGTCTGGCTTGACTTCACTAAATGTGTTTAAGAGTGGATGGAAGAGACAGAATCCAGGGTTCCTTCTGTTAAGTTCTGGGGATCTATTTGGTACAGAAGGTATTTGGGTTTGTCTTTGACTGTCTAGTGATTTGTGGGCAGGCTGCAGGAGCCTGGATAAAGAATGCATGATTGGAATCTTCTCTATTTAAATGCATTACAACTCTCATTCAAAAGAATGACTTTCTTAGATGTTTCAACTTGATAGAAATGCTATTATTTCTTTTGGGAGGAGGAAAAAAAAAATGTTCCACCTGCTTCCTGGGTAGCCTTGCTCTCAACTGGTGTTTCCAGACATTCACATGGGTAGATTCTCTCCTCCGAGCTTTCTTAAGCACTGAATGATGAATTATTTACAAAATTAAAAAGCCTGAGGTTTGAGTAAGAACTGCTCTGCCCTGTATATATGTCCATGCTCACATGGAATAATGTCCACTGCCCCAGCACTAAGAATAAGACATTTCCTTGCTGTGGAAATGTTCTTTGTTGTTTTGCTAGCTTTAGCAGCATTATGCTGCAGGTATAGGATTATTTAAAAAAAAAAAAATCAATGTTTTTCTGTCCTTTCTAACTGGTTTCCCTGAAGATGCATTACCTAGTTGACATGTTAGCTAATAGCTTAGAGGCTGTAGTATTTTGCTTGGTGGTGTGAGCTTCTGCTCTCAGAGCACTGACAACAAATTAAAATGCTACTTAAAAACTCAAAATTTGGAACTCCGATGCCTGAGAAATTGATCCGGGTAGAAGAGGCTTCCCAATTCATTAACATGAAGATAAAGAGGGGTGCTTCCATGTGGCTTAGAATATTTGGGGGAGGGAAATTTTGCAGCTTTCTGCCAGCAGGGAAAGGAGAACCTTTAAAACTTTGCAGCTCATGGCACTGCAGCCGAATTCTTTCCACCTATCTCCAAGCCTGGCAGCAAGAGGCAGAAGTTTATTAAGGAGATGAGAGAGGGAGCTTCTTCCTGCATTCTGAAGCCCCACTCCTAAGTTCTCCAAAGAGAAAAACCTGCAATAATTGATGTGATTCCAATGCCATAGTGCCATGGTGATTGAAACACGTGACTTCAGGGCTGCTTCCCTTGCCAGTTTGTGTTAAAGTCCAGGCAGAAAAAGTGCTGATAGGTGCCCACATTGGAACCACACAGATGCCAAAACCTGTGTGTGTGTGTGTGTGTGTGTGTGTGTGTGTGTATGTGGGCGCGCGCGTGCGCGTGCATGTGTGCACATGCATCTCCCCATCCCTAGTTCATAGAAACCTATTCAGCCTTCAGAAAACAGAAGCAAATCTGGAAGATGTGTCACATGAGCTTGAGTTAACAGGACCCATCCTTTTCTCTCCCCCACCCCCAACCATGCTGCAGGATGCATGGACTTATTTTACACACCCCACATGGAATGGAATCTTGGCAAGGAACGTACTGGGGGACATACAACAGTTTTGCACAGGCAACATGACATCGGGTAGCATGGTGTTTCTGTTTTGCATCCCATTTAAACTTACTGTGCTAGAGGATTTTTGTAGATCGATCTGCATCTCTTCTTCCCCAAAGTGTTTTGGAATTCCCTACTGAACTCGATGTGTATCAAACAGGTATAGCGCCTGCATTCACTAAGTCAGTTGGAAGAATTCCCTATGACAGTTTATTTTTGTAGAAGCCATGTCATTAGCAAGCAGCAAGCCAATTACTCAGGCTTCATTTCTAGAGAAAAAAAGCTCTCTTAACTGCTTTGCCCAAGTCTGCTGGCTCTTAATTACCACAAGCCAAGAGCTGGGATGTTATTGGGTTAGAGAAAAGCGAGCCCCCAGCTTGGTGCTTGTCCTTACCCGATTTCTGTGCCAGGACAGGGATGATGGTTTTCACAGCATTGCTGGCACACTCTGGCAGCTGCTGTTCAAAATTTGGGGGCTGTCAGCCAAGGGATGCTGTTTCTGGTGGAGCATTGCTAACATCTGTGATCAGTGGGAGCTCCTTATAGGTGAGTTGAAAGCTGTTTCCCTTTCCCGGTTTGAATTTTGATGATGTCCTGCCAGAGAGACAAATGATTATGGGATTTTTCTGGTGGGGTCTGAGGAAATCCTTGGGGAAGCTGCAAGTCATGGTTCCAAAAGCCATTCACATGACAGACAGTGTCAGTGATGCAGGCTATGTAATGAAAGGCCTGTGTTGTGATACACTTACATTTACCATCGGCTCTGTGAATATACTGTCTTAACCCAGAACCATGTTTTTTTCTTTTTTCTCAGAGGCTCCTGACATTGTTGGCTTGCTCATGTGACTGACAGCTTCCTTTTGCCTTCATACCTTTAAAAAAAAAAAAAATGTTTTCAATAATTGAGTAGTTGGGTTTTTATTAGAACAGAAGGACTTATCTTTTTGATCTTGTTTACCCTCCTGGATAGTCTCTACAGCTTACTCTTAATAAACAATTTCACCTACTAGATTTAGTTTAAATGTTGAATTTATGGTTTATATAGTCATTGGGGACAATGGCAGTGTCTTAATGAAATTTTATTAATTTTAATATTGGGACATCCATAACAGATTTTTCTGCCAAATGACAGAGACAAAAATAAGACATATTTGCTGTCAGGTTTTAGGCTTTACTGGGAAACTGATTCTGTGGTCCAATTTAATCATCCTGACTGGAAACTTATTTAACTGAGACTCTTGGTCTAGATCACACACGATTTTGTGTGTGAGAATTTAAAACTCTGTCATGCCAAACCCTGAATTTTAAGTTAATATTTGTTTTCTCACTAGTTCATTTCCCACTAGTGCTTCTGTTTCCCACTAGTGCTTCTGTTTCTCCCTTTCTTCATCTGTCCATCTGATCATTTATCCATCTGTCCATCCATTTATCTATCCATTTATCTGTCAATACATTTATCTTTTGTTCATTCATCCATCCATCCATCCATTTATCTATTTATTCAGCAAACTAGTATGGAGAACCAACTAAGTGCCAGGATCTGTGTGAGACATTGGAAATACTATAATAAGTAAGATGTCAAGGCGCCTTTTTTTTTTTAATTTTGAACCTTACAAACAACCAATTTATCTATTGCTTTCTTAAAAAATAAGATTCATCAACAAAATTGTTTTATGCATTTCTTTCAACAGTTAAGTGTTTACTGAGTATCCTCTCTGTGTCAGACCTGGTACCAGTATACAACGAGAACTAAAATAGAAAGCGTCCTTGCTCATGCATCTAAGAGGAGACAACTGCGCAAACAGGCAGATCTGTACAGACCCTCCTTGTGGGGCTTAAAGTCTGATGGGCACATACTTTCAAAAGTTAAAGCAGAACCAAGTACACCCTTAATGAAAATCACTCAGCTCTAAATTACAGTTAACCTAAGTTAAGTAGCCTTACAGAGCCATAGAAAAAACCCAAGACTGAATTAGATGCTATGATTGAGCTATGGGATTCCTCCGAGTTCCCCAGCAGCCTGAGCAATGTAGGAAACTACATTATTCACTATGTCAGATCAAAGAAAGCATACCATATTTACTAGGAAGACACAATGTTCTCAGTTACTAAAAAACTCACAGTTTTCATATGCGGTACAGTGAATGATGGGCAAGGCAGTCTCTTCAGCACCCTCTTTGTAGCAAATGCAGCAAGATGGAAGGTAGCAATAGTGACAGGTTTCTGTTTCATTGCCTGCCAGCCCTTTGTCCTGGAAAGGATGCTAAAGACATTGCTGACAACTAGTCATTAAGAGGTGTGAGAGAGAGATCTCTTAGATAATGTTCACAGTGAGTGACCCCTGCCTGAATCATCCAGTTTTATGTATCCTGCCTCTTTCTGAAACTCTCCCAATTGTCTCAGCACCCTGATGCCACTTGTCCTTTAATCAGGACAATAATACAACCCATCAAAGCTCCTACAGACTGCAGGGAGAGAAGTAAATGGAAGAAAGATTAAGGCAACTTAAATAAGTCTCTTCGCCTCTCACCTCCCACAGCAACCCATACCCTCAGCCTTTTGGAGCCCTAGAGAAGAGCCTTCGCTGTTGTATTAGATTTCTTTAAAACATTCATTGTGAACTAGAATTCATTTTCATATCCAATCAATACCTCCCTTTTCTTCTCCATTAACTCCTCTGGCCTGCCTTTTTTGGAAGAAGTCATTTAACCTAGACCCATAAATGATAAAAAGAAGAGACAAAAAGGACCAGACCATCCTCTGCTTTGCCTCGTATTTGAGTCTCTGATTTTCATACAACCTTTAATGACATTGGCCTAATATCTCATCAGCACTTGGAGTTTTTCCTGTTGTCCATGTAAATCACTGCAGTGGCCTTCAGTCTTGGCAGATAAGTGAACTGTAAATAATTTTGCTTTAAAATGGATCGATTTGTCATTTTTAAGCCACATGAACTCTTTTCATCATTAAAGCTCCTAAGTGCTGTCTGTATTCATTTGCTCTTCCAAGCAAATATTTTCAGCTCATTTTATAAGTACCTTCATTTTGAAATGATTCTATGAAATACTGATGAGCTGACTTTTTTTCCTCTTTTCAATTTATAAAAATCATTGCATCTCCCCAGTTTCCCTGGCCTGTCAGTAGTAAGGAAATCATTCATTTTAGGGAGGTTGATACAGTTTTATTTTAAAAAGTCTTATGACACAAGTTCATGGCTGATATGTGGCCAAGGACCTCTATGGAGTTTTCAAAATTAAGCCCATTTTTAATTAAATTAGCAACTTTTTTATAATTATAATTATTTTATATTAGTTTCAGGTGTACAGCATAGTGGTTAGACATTTATATAATTCACGAAATGATCCCCCAATTAGTCTAGTACCCACCTGGCACTATACATAGCCATTACAAAATTATTGACTATATTCTCTGTGCTGTACTTCATATTCTTACCATTTGTAATGACATGGATTATGCTAAGTGAAATATGTCAGACAGAGAAAAACAAATACCAGATGATTTCACTTATAAGTTGAATCTAAAGAACAAAATGAACTAAGAAACAAAATGAAAACAGACTCATAGATACAGAGTACAAACTGGTGATTGCTAGATGGGAGGGTGTTGGGTGGCTGGGTGAAAAAAAAGGTGAAAGAATTAAGAAGTACAAATTAAGCCCATTTATTTCTTCCTAGTTGGCTCTGGTTTAACATTCAGAAATAAAAATCTCAATTCAGAAATATCAGCATAGTAACAATAGCTAACATTGGAAATATCCATATGTGCCACTCATTTCCATCCAGTTGCTCAAGCCGGAGACCTGGGAGGTGGATGTTCCTGTTTCTAAGATCTCTTCTTCCTCCTCCTGCTCCTTTCCCCCACGCAGTCTGTCAGCAATACCTATTGACTCTGGCACCAAAATGTCTTTTAACTTCACTTGTTCCTCTCCTTTGTCATACTACTCCCCTAGCATAAACCACTTCAAGTCCTTCATGAAGACTGCTCAGCAGTTTCCTTACTGGCTCTCGCTTTCACTACTATCCCCACCAACCTTTTCATCACCCGGTAGCCAGACCAAACTCTCTGGAAGTGAATTGGCTCCTGGTGCATACCCGCTTTAACTTCACTAATGGATTTCTCCTTCCCTGAACTAAGAATGAAACCCAATCTCCTTAAAGTAGCCCACAAGGCCCTTACATTATTTAGTCTCCAAGCCCACAGACTGCCCCAGCCCCTTGCTACACCACACTAGCCTTCTCACTTCTTCAAACGGTCCAAACTCAATTTGGCTTCAAAGGCTTAGCACATATGTTTCTATTACTGGAATGTTCTTCCAGAGGCCTCTCCTTACTACCTACCTAAAGGACATTGCAATATGTTATCAATCTGTTAGGATTATTTGATTAATATCCAAACACGCACACACACACACGTACACATATACCCTTAGATACACACTGAGATATAAATTCTAAGAGCTCAGCTACCATCTCTTCCTTGTTTACACATTGTATCCCTTAGAATCTGGCTCACAGTAGGTGAACAGTGTGTATTTATTGGATGAATGAATAGATGTATGGCAGGTAGTTTCTCAAGAGAACGGAGGCTGGAAGTTCTATCATTGGTGTAGTAGGTGCTTCCTCCACTCATGTTATTAGTATGCATGGGATTACTTAACAGACTTAAAGTGTGTCTTAAATACAGACACTTACTTGTCTTTGAGCCAGTTTTTCACCTAGAAAATGAGGTGAAAGACAATCACATTAGATGCAGATCTTATCCTGTGTTATAACTAGTTCAGAAGTGAATTTGTTCTCATGTCCCAAGTCTTCCGGGAGATAATCCAGACTGCCGAAGAGGCATATAAGTTGACTGTAATTTGAGAGATGTATAAACATAGCTTTTCTCTTGGATAGTTCTGGGCTCTAATTAGATAAAAGACAATGTCATAGCTAAGTGAATTCTCACAGAAAATAAAAAGGGATATTTTGAACTTTTCCACCAGAGAGAGCATAGCTTCAGAAAGCCCAGAGTGCTAGCCAACAAGATATTAAATACAGACTGCATCTTCAAATTAAGTAATCCTCATAATTGAACTTGAGAAGGAACATAAAGTGAGGTTAAATCTTATCTGGGGGAAAATCTAAAAGCATTCCAGATTATTGTATACTTAGCCCATTAGTATGGGTTAGAATATGCCATTTAGTGAAAGTTCAGTGATGGCACAGTTTTTAGAATGCTTTTTCAGGATGCTGCTTTTTATTTTCCAAATTTAGGAACAAAGTTTAGATGGCATTTGAAAGGATTGCAGAAGTGTGGTTTGATTGAGAGGCAGTTTTGCAAACTTGTTCCAGATTTTATCTGTCATTTTGTCTTAAATTGGATCTAAATGACTCATTTATTGGGGAAGTAAGAGGGGTGTTAAAATTTGAAAAATGGCTCTAACCATTTCCAGTAGACTTTATGTGTACACTCTGTTTATGGCAAAGCCATCTCTTCAGTGAAATTCAAGAGTTCTGGTCCTCCATGCCAGAGATTTGTTACACTGGCACAGCCATTGAAGATCTTGGCACACCGTGAGGTGACATGTAAACTCTGTTTGCATGCATTTGTGGGTACATATGTAAAAGCACATGTGCATTCTCTGCAGGAGAAAGTTCCATCCAGTCTTTTATCAGACTCACTCAGTGGGGCAGTATTGCCAGAAAGATATTTTTTCTCCAGTTCACAAAAAGAAGCAAGTGGAAGAGGTTAAAATTAGGTTTCCAGGGACTGCAGAGTACTTCCAGGAAAGGAAGTATGACATTTCCCTCAGGTGATCCTGTGTCCTGGTGAGTTTTTGTGAAGAGTAGTCTCAGCAAGAAGGAGTCTAGAGCTTCAAGGGTCAGGGACTTAACTGTGAAATGAATTTAGTGTCAATGGACAGACCTCACACTCTGGCAGTTGCTACTCATTTGAGGGACCAGGAGAGAGTGCGCATTTGAAGGGAGTGATGCAACTCTCAAAGTAAACTCGTAGGTCCTTTATCTATTGAATTATTTGCTTTTACATTTAAAAGTATCTGCCGCCCTCCCAAGAGGTGAACAAAAACAAAGTATTCCCTGAATGTAAAAATTAAAAATAACAGACCCCATTAATTTTCTTTACCAAGGTTTACTTCAAAGTGAAAATAGCTTTAAATTTTGTCTTGGTAATAAAAAGCATTCTCTATTCATTATAATAGTAAAAAAATAGGCAGTACAGGAAAGTATAAAGAGGAGAAAAAACACACCTTGAATCCCACGTTTTCCTATTTATGCTCGTGTACGCACCAAAAATGAGCTGATGCTATAGTATAAGACGTGCTTGCTTATAGTGTAGACCCTTTTAAAGACCACAGTGAAGAGAAAAACAAATTCCCATGTACATACAAAAGAGAATGGAGATTCTATCTGTCATTAATATTTTCTGACTCTGAAAATCTTCAGCATGTCTCCAGGGGAAGTGAGAAGGCAAGGTATTGACCTCTGTGGCCAGAAAGAGCCCTGAGAGCCAAACTCACTGTTTGGGGAGGACACTATTAGAGGTTAGCAGCCAGATTTGAGTCCGGGCCTTTGGTGCTGAACACATTACCCTCAAAAGAGAATGATGGTAACATGGGGTTCTGATGATATTTGTCACTACCCAAACGTCATTGTGTTTTTCTGGCATCTTCCCTAGGGTGTGCTGTCCCCTTGAGTCTAAGTAAATTAAACCCCTCATACATTTTTTCCTAGACCTCTTTGCTAGTTTAGAATGTGCTCCTCAAATTTCTCCCACAGGCACACCAAATAAAATTTTAAGTGGTCTATTTTACCTTCATTAAATGCACGCCCAATTGTCCTCAACTTTGAATTCTTGCCAAAACCTATATTCAGATTGTAATCTGTGAAAGACAAGGGCAAAGGAAGCTTTTGTCCTCCTTCGGCTTCCTTCAGATACTTATTTCAAATCAGGGACTGAAGGGAGAGGGAATTGAGAGACCTGAGATTTAAAAGAAAATCACCTTGGAAATTTCCATTAATACGAGAAATGAAAGATGGAGGATACCTAGGGGGAAAGTAAGGAAGAGAACTGTTTCGATAGGATTCATTGTAAGACCAAGGGGAAGATTTTGATCCTATAAAGAACTTTAGAGACTTGGAATTCTCTAGGTCAACGATCTTATAAACTGCTTAAAAAGCATAAGCTATACAAGGTCTGTAGGAGAGGATGGAGATGCCCCTGGCTGGCTGTCCTCTGCCCTTTTATGATGCTCTTCAGCAGGTAAAGTGTAGGGACGTAGTGTCTGTCATGTGAGAGACAGGATTCCAAGAGTTTGTTTTGAATGGGAGAAACTAAACACATGGGGTTACCACAACTTTTTACTGGAAAAACCAAGGACTGAAAATTTTTTATTTCCCAGTGGATATTTTCCTCCCACAAGTTTTTGCTCTTTATTTAAAGAACATTTCATAAAACGAGAAGGGTCTTTTGCTGGGCAGGTTCTAAGGAACTGGAACCTGCTTATTTTATTAAAATGTAAAAGAAATTCTTTCCCTTTGAATACTACTTGAATTTTGGACAAGTTGCAAATCTAAGAATGTTGACTCCCATATAAAGTTTGATCTTGGTTTTTCAACCCACAGCACTGTCAGGAGATCAAGAAGTAAGGTGTGATACCTGCAAAATTGATTAGCTAAGAATTATGAAAGCTCTTCATGCAAGTACACATTTAATGCTTGGCATGATTTTTTAAATATCCAGCCTTTTTTTTCTTATAGTCTAGGAGAACTGACGCCAAACCCTAAGATAAGAGTCAGGTATTTTATTATTGAAAGATGCAGGACGTGGAATCCTAAAAAGCATTTTTAGACTTGATTGTCTTTCTTTTGGATATCATAGCCTTACATTTGAAACACTATGGTATTTTGTGTCACATATTTTGTCAAAAAATAAGGATGTTAAAACTGATACATCTTGTCATAAATGAGCCCAAGGTCTTAACCAAGAGCCTATGATGAAAATTGGATTTGTTTTCTGCCACAGCCCAGAGAGCAGTACGGTTTGTGATTATGTCTTTCCAAGTGGCCCACCCCTCTCTCTGTCTGCCAATCACCTGGGGATTTATCTGCATTCAGCATTAGCTGGAGGAAGGTGGAAGCCAAAATGTTGTTGATATATTTATGTATGTGTGCACAGAAGTGCTGAACAAAGACAAACTGATGGAAAACACCACTCAGAAAACCAATAATAATCTTCTCTTCTTGCCCCTCTCACTCGCTTACTTTCAGCAACCACTGGAAAGAAAAGACAGCCAGAATAGTTCTCAGCACAGTGTTTCCAGCCACCGAAGCCTGCACACAGCATCCCCAAGCCACGGCACACAGGTGCTCCCCGAGTACTCACCTGCAGAGGCCTCAGCTCCAGATCAGACCGACAGCTCTGGGCAGAAAAAACCAGATCCTTTTAAAATCTGGGCCCAGTCCAGGAGCATGTATGAAAACCGACGTGAGTAGCACCCTGGCTGCTGTCTTTTCGAGACCCTGCCTCAAGGCTTCAGCTTCCTCTTGAGGCATATTAAAAATAGATTTTCAGTGTGTAGACTGCATAAAGCTAAATCAAGGTGAGAGGTGAAAGCTTATCAGGGCAGGGATAGAATCTGATGGATATTCATGGAGGCTCCATTATGACTTCAGTTTGGGGAGGGGTAAATACAGATGCTCATCAGATAAAGAGCCTGGATAAAAATGGATTTATTTTTCCTTTCAGTTAAAATAAGTGGTAGAGAAGAGGTACTGTTTCATTAATCTTCCCTGCGTGGAGATTGTGGCATTCTCTTGTGAAACAGCTCTGATATACAATAGGACATAAATATGATTGACTTGAATAACAAGAGTAATGATAAGAAATTAAATGCTTTCTTAGTAGTCTCTTAGTTTTTAAGAATACTGGTAATTTTTCTTTTCCTGTAACTATCAGTCTTTCTAAACATTCCCTTTAAAATGAAAAAAAAAAAAATGGTGAGTGATTCGTGCTTTAATTATTTATACTGTGGTTAAATGTGTTCCGCTGGCTTTACCTTTTCGATAAATATGAACTAGTGATGGCATATGTCATAACTTTTTGGCTCTTATAAGCCTACTTTTGCCTTCATGTTTAATTTCCGACCTTTCATTATGAAATGATTTCAAAAGACAATTCATCATAAGTGATATTCATTTAGCTTATTGCCAATGAAAGTTCCTAAAATGCTTTACTCTCAGGGCATACAAATGGGCCCTTTTTGGGCTGTGGCTATTACTGGCGTTTTCTCATGAGTTTGATTGGTCAGGATGAAGCAACTATAAGGCACTTTCAGTTTCTCTTTTTGGCATGGAATAGGCGAGAATGTTTAATGACAGAAGAGGCCATATTTGGTGAAGGGTCTGATTAAAACTGGAAGAAAGAAGAGAATCATTTTGCCATCTTCTTTGTCCCCGTCCCCTCTCTGCACAGGTGTGGTTTATGGCCACATACACTATGCCTGTCTCTCAGACAAAGCCCCCTTGGAGAGTCATGGCACAGAGGTGGTGGACGCATGGGAGGTGTTCCAACCTCTCGCCAGCCCACTTGGACCTGGCTGTGAAGCATATCCTTGGCTGGCTGAAGCAACTCCTCTGTGACCCAAACAAAACAGGGGAGAAAGGCCAGAATCCCTGTCTGAGAAGGAAAGCTGGCCATATTACTGGGTGCAATTCAGCAGTTAGGGGGCACAAGGCAAGTCTGGAGTCTGGCTGCTTATCAGATTTTAGAAGTCACTCAGGGGCCCCTCCATTGTTTTCTTCCTCAGGGGAGAAATAATCATTGCCTTCTTGTTATAACAGTGCATAGAATTAAATTGGCTGTTTTGGCTAAGGGTTCACTCTGCTGACAAAAGCCAGATAATTTGAAAAGGAATTTATTTAGTTCCTGGCCTGGAAAGACCTCTAGAGTAACCGTGACGCCAGGCCAAAGGAAATGAAGTTCCGTTTGGAACATCTCTCGTAAGCAGTAGTTACTAAGCATGAACCTGGAGTCTCTCCTCACTGAGTCTTCTCATTAACTGTAGTGATTTCACTGACGAAATGTTTTCCAAAGAGGTGTATTTTCACATTCTCTTCACATTTCTCTTTAACCATGCAGCTTCTCCGATCAATGGCCCAACTTCAGTTGATGTTGAGATACTGCTTTATTGACTGTCCCCCTGCTTTTCTCAATATAATACACATTTATGACTGAGTTTTGTGATAAAATACATCATGTTCTGAAGTACTGGCAAGAGGCATGGTGGATTGACAGACAGTTCTAATGCATTTTGTTAATAGGAGGCTCCAGCTCAAATGCCATTTTCTCCTTTATGGAAGCAAAATTTCTTCAGAATTCGGTATTTAATCCAATTTTTAAGAAAGTTTTCAGTCCCCTCCCCTCCCCCCCAAAAAAAGAAAAATATGTAATCTTGCCACAGCCAACTGCTTTAAGCATCAAAATTGCTCAGGCGGCAGTCAGACTAAAATATGTGGAATGATACCAGTTTGTGCCTTCACTTTCTTTGACGTCTAAGGAATAGGATCTGGCAGCACAAGTGAGAATCAATTTCTTTTTGGTGATTGGAGGCTCTGTAATTGAATGATTATAGCAACCTAATTAATGTTAAGATTCACTTGGATTTCTTCCTCACTACTAAATAAGGATAATGATGAGACCTTTTCCCCCAATGGTAATTATTCAGGATCTGTCAGATTTTCTTCTTTCACAGTACCTATGAATGAACCTACATCAATCTTGTCTTTTAATTCGTATTTTGCTTTATTCCAGATTAGTTTATGCCATTCCCTTCAGTTATTTTTTCATCTAGTCTTTTCAAAAATAAAACAGACAAAAAATATAGCGTATAGCTCTGTTAAGATGTGATTTGCTCCCCCTCCCCGCCAAGACATAAGAATGAGCAAAGTTTTCCGGGAAAATTGAAGTCAGCAATAGCACCTTAATTTTACCCTTAATTTAGCCCCCCCTTTTGGGGAAAATATATTTTTCTTATATTTCATTTTATGGTGAAGGGCAACATGAAGATTAATAGTCTCTGATCTAATTCCTTCACATGGTCTAAATGTTGTGCAAAATACCGTATTCTTGATATGGCCATCTGTCAAAACAGCAGTGTCAGATGAGTCAATCTGAATTGGAGATGTGTTAGTAAATCCCTTTGAAGGGCTTAAATGTTTAATTAAAAACAAAGGCAAGCGTGGAAGTCCTTTAAAAGCCATGTTGCCTGTTTTGTATTTTCTCTAGATAGCATGCCAATTGTGCACGTGTTTTTAAAAATGACAGTGATACAATCTTCTTAGGTAATGTTCAGGAAAATTAGCTAGTGTCCACTAGTGCTTACTATAAAAAGAAAATCTAAAACTTCCTGTTGAAATTTTGCTTGCTCACAAAATAGTTTGGAAAGAAAAGATATCAAAATCGTCATATTAACTAATATAAACCTGTCCTGCTTGGGAGAGACATACTTACAAATTTGGAATTGGTGAATGGGCTCCTTTATCATAGTGGGTATAAGGAGCTAGGGTATACTTCTAGTTTTAAGAGCTATTATGACAGTTTTTATTTGTGTGTGTGTGTGTTCAGATCTTGGGCAAATCCGATGATTTGTGTCTCTAAATAAAAGACTGTTGTGGTTGAACTGCCTAGAATTCATCTGAACAGGTATTAGCACAAGAATGAATTCCATCAGGAACTTGATAGTCTTTTAAATAAATGCTGTAGTGTGGCAGTGACAGAAATGTGCTTAATTTTTTTCAAAAGGAAATAAGGGTTTAGACAAATCTTAAGTTCGTGACATGATTAAAACAAGGTCATACAAGTACATGTACTTTAGAGTATAATTAAATATGAACAGTCTAAGATGGTAATGGGAGTTCTATGAAATTTTCAACTGTACAATTGTAAATTCTAGCTTTTTGATAAGAAAAGCACCATGACAAAAAATTAAAAAAACAGAATGAAACAATCGTCTTTTAAAATCCACAGCAGCCATGACCTTTACTGTAAAAGCTTAACTGCACTTTCCTTATCAATCAAAACTAAATTAAAATGAACTAAGAGAAAGCACATACATTAAGCTTTGCAAAATTGTGAAATTAATATTCCAGCTATGTCACCTTCGCCTGCATCGGGATTGAGCAAGGGTGAAAGAGAGAGAGAGATCAATTCTACGAATTTTGGAGAATGTCAGAGTAAGGATCTGCTGAAAACATTTCATTTCTCCATTATTATTCATCCTGTTTGATGTTCCCATTGGTCTGGGGGGCTGGGGAGAAACTCAGAAAGAGAAATGCCACAAACAAATGTTTTTGGTACTCTCATTGAGCAGGCACAGACCAAAGACAAGATGAAACAAAGTGGTGGGCATGTTTTAGATAAGTCTGGAAGTGTGCGTCTGTGGTAATGGAGACACCAGAAGGTTTCTCTGCAAACCTGGTGATTCCATTCGTCTAGTTATCAAAGGAAGTCTTTGGACCACTCTGTTGAATTTGCTGCTGGCATTCCCAAAGCATGTTAACTGCAGATATTGTCTCCTGTGCAAGGGCTTAAAAATCAAGAAAGCCGTATGAGATCGTCTTAGCTCTTTTTGATTTAGCCTCCATCAAAAGAAAAACAAGGCGATGTAAACATCAGAAAGATGGTTCTACACTGCTACCTCTGAAAAATTTAATTATAATAGAATTTGCCTGAAATAAAGAAGAGAACAAACCATTTTGGAGGAGTAGTCTAGAGACTTCAGTGCCCCTGGCAGGAAGTGGCAGCAGAGGACACAAAAGAGAGAAATTCTGTAATTCTGTAATATGTTGCAGTACTGATTTGCCACCAAAGTCATGGCATTTGGTTGGTGGGAGAGTATAATTGTTAAAATGCCAAAGTTAAGGTGCCAAAAGACTTTCTTTGTAACAGCCCTATGTGTTGGTGTATCGTGTTGGTGTCCGTCTCTCCCTGGCTCACTGTTGGTGTCTTCAACACCCTTGGTGTCATTTGGGCATCTTGTTTTCCAACAGGAAGCTCTTTAAATAAATTCACCATTTCTCCAACTGATTTTCAGAGAGAAACAAATGCTTTTTGCCTAGGAACTAAACTGTATGGTAAACCTAAGACTGTTGGCCATAAGCACCCATATCCTGATAGCTTATACCAAATGAGCAATATAAGACAAAAACTAGCTGTATTTGATGTCACCGTAGGGATGGGCAAGTGTTCCTGTGTTAAATGAGGCTGAGAAAAATGGGCCTGGGCTGGAGGTCTCAGCAGAGCCCTTTCCTTGTTCGCAGAGAGGCTCTGCAGACTTAAAGCAGACTCTGCCAGGAACCTAGTGCTGACTGGAAAGCATCCATGGTCTATTTTGGTAATAATTCTCCTGCTTGAGTGAACCAAAGATGGAGATCCAATGTGATTTAATTCATTGTTTCAGTGAGGCTATTACAGTAAATACCCTTTAGCCAGCTACTCGAAAAGAAAGAAAATATTGTTACCTTAGCGTGCTCAGGAAAATATCATTCTCGAATCACGTTTATGGGAGTACCATGATGTAGCTTAACTCCATGTTCCATGGCGTGTTGCAGCTTAGCCTTAGCAATTATAATGATGATGATGATAATAATAATAATAATAATAATAATAATAATAATAATAATAGCATTGAATAAAAAAGAACCATTTAAAGCCATGGCATTAAGATAGCTCAAGCAAAAATACTGGATTCAGACTCCTCTAACTTGTACTGACCTGTTTTATTTAGCTTCTTCTCTCTTGGTGTATTCATTCACTATGCATTTTAAACTCGTGGGTGAGTCACTGAGAAAGGACATCTCTCTCCAACTTGAAATCTAAACAACTGCCTTCTTCCTCTCTAGCCCCACTGTACAAAATTGGAGAAGACGAGAATTAAATTCTCAGGCCTACACACTCCTTCAGCCTAAAATCCAATTAATTAAATAAACCAGGAAGTTTGCAGAACAATATTTGAAAATCCCCTTTTTTAAGATTCACTGCCACTAAACTATTTTTTCTATTTAGATAAAAGATATGTCATTTTATAGACTATAAAATGCTATTTATACATTAAAATATTAAATAAGAATTTAATAGAAGTAACCCTTTTTTATTACCTTAGTTAAGTAACAGAGTGGTATATAGAAGAATTTCATGTACAGTAAGCGTGTTTTTATAGAAGTTACTTCTTTTTAAAAAAATAAGACTTTGCATTTTAAGACCCTGAACTATTATTGGGTTTTAAAAGTAAAATCAAGTTATTGAATGATCAATTGATACTTATAATGTTGAAATATTATAGGCAAGTTCTGGAGTAAAACAGTCATTTTAATGTTGAAATACGATTCCTTGATACAGAACAATTTTGTTGTTACCATTAATGTTAAAAATATGGAAGGCTGGCTACTTTTGGTAATAGTACTGAAATCATAAACTTTGTAAATTTGGAAATACTCGTATGTTCAAGAGTAACTTTTTGGCAAATATGATCTACCCAATCAAATTATTGGCATTGCTTTTCTGAGGGAGGAAGAACTTTTTTTAATGGATTTTTTAATGATTTTTTTAAAATAGAAAACACTTTACCCCAGGCTCTTTCCTTTCTTCTTTTAATTGCTAGAACATCAGGTGACTTAACAGGGCTTCTGAATCCTCAGAGCCAGCCTTTGCTTCAGAGGTCACTCTGACTTAACACGAGCTCTCTTTTTGGACACGGGCACCCACTGTATGGTGCGGTGCCTGGTGATTTTAATTCGCCTTGCAACAGTACCAAGGAGAGCAGTCAATGTGGATTTCTGGCTTAGTCAAGGATAATGACTTAGGCTTGATTTAGAATGATCAAACAGTGATTAGTCCTTTCAAAAAACTTAAGGCTCAGTGACTACTCCCACTGTTACTTTTGCCCAGTGTCCTGTTATTTCACCCGTCCAGACTATTTTTGTTTCCTTGTCTGTGTTGGAAAGCTGTCATCTGCTCAAGCTCCATCAATACCAGTCCCGTAACTGTGTAACCTGAGGGGTATGATTTATTTCATCAGAGAAGTAATCTCTCTTCCTTCTCTCTTCTCTGAAGTTCCAGATTACCAAGAACAGGACATCTTCCTCTGGAGGAAAGAGACTGGATTTGGATTTAGGATTCTCGGTGGAAATGAACCAGGAGAACCTGTGAGTCTTTGGTCTACCTCTCTCCCTCAGTGCTGTTTTCTAAGACTTTAAAGCAAATTGGCAGCAGTGACAAATCATCAAGATTTGAGCTCAACTGGGTGCAACACTGACTGTTTCATGTCAAGATAGTTGGGGTTATTCATTAGATTTCGTGGAGCTTTTCTTTCTTGAGGAAAAAGTGACTAGATCCTTTCTAAAAAATTCGCATTCATATTTGTGAAAAGTGGCAGCTACAGCATCTGCAGCCCCCCATCAAAGAAAAAAACCAAAAAGCATAAAAGGAATAGTTATCATCTAAGAAAACAGTGGCCTGATCCTTCTGGCCAATTCTGCTAAATCTGCCAGCAAGTAGTTGGCTTTATATATTGAGTAGCTAGTGTATTGAGAACACTTCTCAAGGCATCATGATAGATTAGAGAAAGTAGGGCCACCGTCCTTACAGAAGTAGAGAAAGAACCCTAAACGAGGGTCCAGAGACATTTAACTGCTCTGGGCCTCATCTCTAGAATAAACTTAGTATTGCATCACAGAATCTTTCTGAAAGGGAAAAAGAGAACTAAAGATAAGTATTATTAATTCCCTCATCATAATAAAAAATATAGCTGTTATTTATTGAGTTCTTACTATGTGCCAAATGCTGCACCAAAAGCTTTTAACATACATTCTTTCATTTATCCATGAAATCCATGAATTTATCTCCATTTTTCAAATCATAAAATAAAGACATAGAAAGGTTAATTAACTTACCCAAGATCACAGAGTTAATAAATGGAAGGACTGGAAAGGAGCTGATTCCAGTCCATATTTTTAACTACTCTTTTGTCAAAGTTCTTTTAAAACTATAAATGTCATGTAAAGGTAACTGTAGCATTATTATATAGTGAGAAGACAAAGAGAGCAAAAATGTTTTAACTAACGTTTAATGGATGGTAAATATAATAGCAATACCCTAAATATAAAGACTGCTCATATGCAGGTGCTAAAAGAATACAGATATGGAGATGCTGTCAGACCAGACTTGGCTTGATTCGTTCCTTCATTTAATAATATTTATTGTTCATTCACCAATGTTAGGCACAGTGCTGGACCTTTAAAGAAAAGTAGTATTGGTATTATAATTAGAGTTTTCTGAAAGGAGGGTTCTTTTTTTTTTTAATCAAGTCTATTGGGGTAACATTGGTTAACACAATTATATAATTTTCAGATGTACATTATCATTTGACATCTGTATATTCTATTGTGTGTTTACCACCCAAAGTCCAGTTTCCTTTAGCTACCATATATTTGATCCCCTTTACCCACTTCAAAGGGGTGGGGGGAGTTCGTAAGTAGATAGAAAAGGAGAAATGGTTTTGCAAATGAAAGGAATAAAGTGATTTATTTATGCAAAGGAGAAGAAAAATGAATCATCACCAGACTGCAGATAAGTGTAAAGGAAACAAACAAGAAAAAGTCTTTTCTCACTATTTAAGAATTATTATAGCACCTAGCACAATGCCTCGTACCCAGTGGGCACTCAGTAAATGTTTGTGGCATGGATGCAGACATGAATGAATGAATCGAAATATTCTTGGAGATGTGAAGGCCATCAGTATAATAGTAAAACAAAAGGTCAGTGTTTCATCCATCATCCAATTATTCAACAGATTTATATCGGTCACATTGTACCACTGGGTGCTGCTGATACAGATGGCCGCCTGAGGTCTGGGGATGAATTAATCTGTGTGGATGGGACACCAGTAATTGGAAAATCACACCAGCTTGTGGTCCAGCTTATGCAACAAGCTGCCAAGCAAGGCCACGTCAATCTTACAGTGCGACGTAAAGTCGTATTTGCAGGTAAGTTTCTTATTCGTTCCTTCTGACAGTGCACTGTCACTTTATGCACAGAAAAGGACCCCTTCCTGTGTCTGCCTCCTCAAGCATCTATTTTAGCAAATGTTTGCAAATGTGATTAAGCTCAGAATTTCCAGATGGTTTGTTCTCTCAAAACTTGCAAAACTACCGTCATTCCAAAGTACTTTAAAGTACCATTCATACATGTTCAGCAAAGACTTCTAGAAGGTTAGTTGAATATATATTACCTCCCCCACCCCTTGCCAACTAGAACTTAGTCATCTTCTTCATTTGATGATAACTTTCAACAAAAGAGGTTATTATGATGGTCAGGAGAATCGTAACTTCAAATTAAGAGAACAGAAGTTAGGTTTGTGCTTCAAAATAAGCTCATAAAAAAGTTACTCTATAGTCATATGTATTAAACTGGTGAGATTATATTATATTCATATATATATATAATATATATATATATTATATATATATATATATGCAATTTGTAGAACTGGCCAGTTCTACTTGATTCCTTCCTCCTACAAGCTTCGAAGTATTTGAGTCCTCAAAATACTATAATACCCTTTCAAAGCCCAACTCAAATATAACTTTTCTCTGTGAAACCTTCAGAAATTTCCTCCTCCTTCCAACTGCCTCCAGGTTTTAGCATTTCCTTCTTGCCATTCTTGTGCATCAGGATTTACTTCTGTATCAGAATCTGCCATTTAGAGACAGCTCATTGTGTGTCTGCCCTTTCCTTTCACTCACCAGCTTCCTGAAAGCACATATGTTGGTGGTTCATCTTTGTCTGCTGTCCCCACTCCTAAATATTCAAGACAGAACCTAGAATGCAGTAGAAGCAGATTGTGTTATATCAGTTGAATTACTGAAGAAGTAATTCAATATAATTAATCAATTATAATGAAGTAATCAATATAATTAATTACAGAATTAAGATATCAGATTCCAATGTGAGAGTTCTACCTACTGCTATAGAAAACAGTGTTACTTAATAAGGTCTCTAGAGCTCACTTATGGCCTCAGAATATTTCTTAACATAGTATTCCATGCAGCCAATAGCAGTCTGTTAGAAATGGCTTTTGAAATGCGATGAAAACATTTTACTTCACTGGCTTAAATAAAAATGTTTGTTTCGGAATTATTTTTGAATCTTAAATATTTTGGGTTTTTAGCTCTGAGTCAAAGGTACATTAAATCTATGAAGAGACGTTAGGTTAAGTGAAATAAGCCAGTCACAAAAGAATAAATGTTAAATGATTCCATTTTCATGAGGTACCTAGAGTAGTCAAATTTATAGAGACAAAGAGTAAAACGGTGGTTACCCGGGGCTGGGGGAGGAGGAAACGGTTAGTTAGCATTTACTAGGTACAGAGTTTCAGTTTTGGAAAATGGAAAATTTCTGGAGATGGATGATGGTGATGGTTGCACAACAGTGTGACTATACTTAATGCCACTGAACTATACACTTAAAATGGTTAAAATGATAAGTTTTATGTTCTCTGTATTTTACTACAATAAAAAAGAAATTTATGAAAGGAGAAGCTTTCAGGAATAAATACAGTCTTATCCAAAACCTGAATACACAGTTTGCTTTTGGCATGAAACATAAGTTGGTTCCTCCAACTATTGTGGCTATATAAGAGTGCTTTACCTCGTCACCTGACAAAGCAATAACACTGGAATTTAGTAAAACTGGAAATCTGAGGATTTTAGAACTGAACCCAGATGATTCCATGAAATAGTATCCAGTTGTGTGATCAGAGTAGATCATTGACATCTGGAAGCTAGGAAGAGAAACTGTCTACTTCTGACAAGCTTTGTCAGGAATCCCACAGTATGGCAACATTAATGGTACTGTCAGCTTTCGATCTTGTGACTAACAGAAAAATCAAAAGCAAAGACTGTTTGGAAAGCTGAGCAGAACTGTGACTTGAGGGTGATGACAATATGAATGTGCAGCCAGGGTCCTATCTCTGAGGTAAAGATGTGGTGATCATCATAGGTGTGGGCCACACCTCCATTTCGTATACGTTTGCCTTTGATTTGTGCACTGGGAGGATTGCAGAGTGGGCCAATCTTGCTGCAAACTTGAGTCAGAGTGTGGATGTTGATGTATAGTATGCTATGGACGATACACGATTTGGTGTCCATTTTGGTGTTTTTCTGTGGGATCGATGTCAGTAGAGACTGAATAGTAAACACTTTTCTCAAGAAGCTGTTTTAAATTCTTGTATCTCAGGTCTGTGAGGCTAGGTGCTCTCTTACTTCAATCTCTTGATTTCTTACATGTTGTGGAGTTGCGGGGAGAAGGAGGAAGGAGTGGCGGGGCATGTTTTTGGCCAAGTCAGGTAACTGAGAGGCGCATCTCTTGTACAGCCCCCAAAACAGAGAACGAGGTGCCCTCGCCAGCCTCCTCTCATCACAGTAGCACCCAGCCGGCCTCGCTGACCGAGGAGAAACGCACCCCGCAGGGCAGCCAGAACTCCTTGAACACGGTGAGCTCGGGCAGCGGCAGCACCAGCGGCATCGGCAGTGGCGGGGGTGGCGGCAGTGGCGTGGTGAGCACTGTGGTGCAGCCCTACGACGTGGAGATCCGGCGCGGGGAGAACGAGGGCTTTGGCTTCGTCATCGTGTCGTCGGTGAGCAGGCCCGAAGCAGGCACGACTTTCGGTGAGTGTTGACCATTCTTTTCCGCGGTGTTTCCAAGGATGCCAATGAAAGGCAGCCAAAATCTCATTAACAGAAATGCTTCCATGCTTTTCGCTTCAGGTAATTAAAGTCTTAATTGGGGATGCAGTTTATTTGGTAGATTTTCCCCTCCCGAAGGTTGAGGTTTTTTGTTTTTTTTTTTTTATCCGTTCAGCTTCCTTTCTGAATGCGTGTTCACACGCACACAACTTAAAGCATACGTGAAATTTGCCAGAAATTTGCAGAGCGACCCCTCGACAGTGTAGTATGAGGAAGTCTTGCTAGTGAAAGCCTTTTGCAAGGTCCTGAGTAAGATGTCGTTAATAGCGGTAGCATCAGAAGATGTAAGAGCTTTAAAAGGAGCATGTGATTGTAAAATGCTTAAGAAAAATAGAAGTGTAAGGAGTAAACATGTTACATGAAATGCCCTTTCTACCTTATCTGTGTCCTTTTGCTGCTCTATCCCTATCTGAAGTTTTTTAAGTTTAATTTTAAATGGTATTTTTACTGTTCCTTGGTTAAGAATCTGATTGAAATCTGAGCTAAAATTCATTTGTCTTCATTGCTCTTTAATTCTAGCAGGGGTAATTTTCCTATCTCATCCAGGTTTTGGGGATTTCAGCAGAGTATGGAGAAACATGGTCGTCACCCTATCAGAAAGTTAACTCTCTGCTGGGTGCACTGGCAGAGACAAATAGGAATCCAGGTGATTCCCAGAAATAGTAATTCGTGAATCTATTTCTGATCGAATGGATTATAAATATGTACTCCAAAAATGATCTACCTTCTTCATTAAATAAAAAGTTATTTGTTATTCCCCAAGCACATTTTGTTGATTAATATGGAATATGGTAGGAGGCAGAAAGGGTTATGCAGGCTTTGAAATTTACCTCAGCTCTATGTCCAGGTGACTCATCCACAAGGAATCAGATGACCGGTGGCCACGGGTCACTTGCTGACTAGGATCAGCTAGGCGTTCCATCCCTTTAGCTTTCTGCTCCCATAGAATTCCCTTGCTTCCATTTAGTCTTGTCCATTGCTTCCTGCTAAAGCCATTCTCTCTAAGGTTTGTCCATTAGGTCACAGCGGTCCCCAACCTTTGTGGCATCGAGGACCGGTACTCCTATGAGAAATGCCTGATGATCTGAGGTGGAGCTGAGGCAGTGATGCTAGCTCTGGGTAGCAGCTGCAAATAACAGATAAAGCTTCAGTCCCTCACCCACCGCTCACCTCCTTTGTGGCCCTGTTCCTAACAGGCCACAAACCGGTACCAGTCCATGGCCCGGGGGTTGGGGACTCCTGCATTAGGAGACTATAAATCAGCAGGTCTATGCATGTGTGGCTGCAGTAACAAACACCCATTACTAACAGTGCTTTTGTGAGCTGCTTTAATACAGTTATCACAGCATGTCATAGATGGGTGACATGACATCAAGTCAAGGTTTTTTGTTTTTAAAATTAATTTTAGAGTTTTTTATGCTTAATTTAAAAATAAAAAGAAAGGCAGAGAGGGGAAAAGAGATCCCAAGTTCTTTTCTTCAGATCTACATTTTGACTGTCCCCACGCACCCAGTGATATTCTCAGGATTCCAGAATTTCACTTTCTAGAATAAATAGCAGATATGTTAGGTGGGAGGCTGTGTGTTATTTAATTAATTTTGAATGTCTTCACTCAAAGCTTGGTCTCTAATTGTTTTTCTCTGGCTCTTATAATGAACAAATTAAACTTTCCCTAATACCTTGCATGAGATTTCTGTTGCAAGCTATGCAGAGCTTTCTTCATACCTGCTGTTTGATGCCTTTCTCATGAGAGTTGTCCTAAGAGTTGGGCTAAACTTAATCAAGACCTTGAATTTGAGTATGGAAGCTTCCCACCATATCTACCTGTTGAATTCCAAAAGACTTTAACTCCTTTTTAAAAAATTCCTCATCCATGACGTTACATCCAGTGATACAAACTCAGGCAAATGTGCTGAAGTGTAAAGGAATTATAATACATTTTCGCACATATGTTATCCTCAAGGTCCAAATTATGATGGAAGAGCCTACTCAGTTTCAATGTCTCCCATGTTAATTTTGTCACCCTTTCCAAAAGATGTCTCAATTGCGTAACTGTCTTCACAGTCCCCAGAAAGACAAATTCTAAAAGTAGCTGAATGTGCCTAAGAAACTTTGAAACTAAATATACAATTCTCTAAAAACTGTATGTTGGGCTTCAGAGCCAATTTTCCACCTCTCTCTAGAAGTTAGCAATGCTCTTGGTTGTGAGATGGAATCCCCCAAAGCGTACAATACACCTTCCTCTTCAAATGCACTCTTCCTGGCTTTTCATATTGTAGATGTGTATTAACTGATCAGGAAAAAGGAAATGATTAAAGGAAAAGGATTGAGGAATGATTTGAACCTAGCTTTGGATCACTGTCCTCAGCCCAAGTATGTACAAGATTTTCATATTCCTTTGAGGAGATTTTTGTGAGGACAGAGGAGGATTTCAGAGCTCATGAGCCATTTGGGCCCTACCCTGAAAGCACATGAGATAGGCTGACTGAGCAAGGGTCATAAAAGCAAAAATATGTGTCAAGATTGGGGGCTTTCTTCGCTCATCTCTTGTAATTATGCCCCTTTTCTAAAGAGTTCATCATTCTGAATAGAAGGCAGGAAGTCTAAGTGTTCGTCCATTAGGTGTCTTCAGATTGAATTTTCAGTGCTAGCAGACTCTCATGCCTCACCAGATGCCCAATGATTATTTTTCTAAATGGAGAAAGAACAAAACATTGGCAGAAGCTTAAACAACAGCTGGCAAAAGTAAAGTGACTTGAACACAGAATGCGTAAAAGCATTCATCCCAGCTCTGGGTTTCACATTTGCAGTCCCAAAATAAGCCAATGGCAAATTATTTTGGAGCGCTTGAGAATCTCTGAAGTTGCTAAGTATCCAAAGTTTTGTAATTGATTTAAGGAGGGGAGCTGGGGTTTTCCCCACATTTTGAATCAGGAAAAGACCGCCGCGACGAACTACCGTTTCAGGGCCGTAGCTTCTTACACAGATGCCCTGACCATTGCCAATGTTTTGACCATCGACGCAGAGCTCTCCTTTAATAACATTTGCTTAATGCTTTAATTAATTAACACTTAACCTTCTCTTCCCCTTTTCAACCCTTTTTCTCCTCCCTTCACTATATTCCCACGTAACTTTTAAAAAAATTAAAACTCAATATCAAAGCAGGCAATGCATGTGTGGCTATGCCTCACAAAATAGGTCGGATTATTGAGGGGAGCCCTGCTGACCGATGTGGCAAGCTGAAAGTAGGAGACCGGATCTTGGCAGTAAATGGATGTTCCATCACCAACAAGTCCCATTCAGACATTGTCAACCTAATCAAGGAAGCGGGAAACACAGTTACCCTCCGCATCATTCCCGGGGATGGTAAAGTATACCTGTTGTCTCTGTCTCTCTCCCTCTCTCCCCTTCCCCCTCCCCCTCCCTCTCCCTTCCCCTCTTTCTCTCTCCCCTCTCCTCCCTCGTATCTGTGTGTACATCTCTCTCTCTCTCTCTCTCTCTCTCTCTCTCTCTCTCTCTCTCTCTCACTTTCTTGATCTCTTTCTGGATCTCTTTATCATTAGCGTTCATGTAATTGCATAGTGTTGCTTTAGAGACAGCCTTATCTATCCCTAGGGGAACATATCCATCAAACAAATGTGAGCCATTGTTACTAAACCTTATCTCACTCTCTTTACTTAATCCCCTATCTCTTAATACCTGTCTTGTTGCAAATAGAAATATTTCAGAAAATCTTCAGATTTCCCCAATTTATTTTGGTTTTGGTGCCCTTGGCTTTCAAATAATAGAATAGTTTGAATATAGTGGTAAAGACCTGATGTCTTGTTTGGAAATCACTCAGGATTTTTTTTTTTTTTAAACAATCACTAAAATAATTCAACTGTATAATGTGGCAACATCACAAAATCTACAAAATAACAATTCATAGCCAGCACTAAGTTTTTTCACAATAAGATATCAGTTTTTTTATTTAATTGAGAGAGTCTTAGGTTTACGCCTCCATGATTTGTTCCTAATTTTTACATGTCAATGAAGAAAGAATTAAATCTATATTTTTTATTTAATTGTAGGTTATAGCTACAATAAACTAGGCCTACTCTTGTTTGGTTGGTTGGTTAAATTTAAATCTTTGGTTCTTTTACACCAGGGGTGATCCTGCCCCCCAGGAGACATTTGGCATTGTCTGGAATGGGTGCGAATGGCATATAGAGGGTAGACCTAGAGATGCTTCTTAACATCCTATAGCTCCCTATAATAAAAAGTTTTCCAGCAAAAAATATCAACACTCATTGTAATATTCATATTTAATAAAAATTAAGTTGATACACTGTCACCAAATATAGGTTCTTCAGAGAATTAAGTCCTGAATATTGATTTCATTCTGAGCAGATTTTGCCCATGGGAGGAAACTAATATTTGTTCCAAAATGTTTCAATGTTTTTTTTTTTTCATTCTTCCTACACATTATAAAATAAAATATATATTCAAGAGGAAATGTGGTTTTTGGAGCTAACATGATAAAATCGTATGCCATTGATATGTAAAATAAGAAAATTAGAGATTTTTATTTAAATGTTATTCACCAAATGAATATTTTTATATATAAATGGTTAGAAAGTGAGCCTCGTAGTTTAAAATTTGAGTAGTATAGACTGTGCCTTTCGGAAAAAGTGAATCCAAACCAAACAATAAATATTGAAAATTGTTGGTTCTAAGAACAGAGAATTTTCTCTGCACCAGAAATATCCCATACCAAATGTTGAGGAAAAAAATAGCTCCTTGAATGATGGTCTCCTTCAGCCTGCCTCAAATGCACGGTTAGTAATTTACCATCTGGTCTGGAGTCCATTCTGCCAGTTCACCACTCTGGAACGCTATTACAATTTAGGAAAGTGAGCACGAGATGATAGAACATAGGTTCCTAATGGAAAGGATGAAGAAAGCCAGAAAAAAATTAAATAAGAAATGATTGAGAGAGCCAAATATAGTATATAAATTTAGACACCTTTATCTACATGATTGAGAGAGCCAAATATAGTATATAAATTTAGACACCTTTATCTACATGGAGAGATTTCAAAAAAAAAAAACTAACCCAAAAGAACTAGACACAGTGACTTCCTGGACCTATATTGGTCGGTCTTCATGTGGAAATGAGAATGTCTAAAAAAGAAAAGAAGGAAAGAAAGCACTTTTTGAGAGAAAGGCTTAGGAGAAGAGTTTGAAATCAGGAAAGACAGAAATATGCTGAAGCTCCTCTGGTACTCTGCACATACTAAGTGTTGAGTTAGTTTTTTTAAAGCACAATGGAAAATATTTTTGGAAAACCTGAACACCAAGAAATATAATACAAGGTGAATTATCCAATAACAGCTGTCAATAAAAAGATTTTTTAAACTCAGATACTTCAAAAATATACAATTCAGGTAGACATATCCACTTGCTATCTGGGTTAGAAGAAAGTAAACGTTAAAGTTGATACAATAGAGTTAAGGATTGATGCACTTCTGAGGATGTGATTTCATTCCAAGATACTGCAGAAATTTATTGCCATGATAATAACATTCTTCATTGGTTACTTTGTAAGTTTTGGAGGCCAGGAGAAGGCAGTTCATTGAGTCTGACAGAGGGTGGATTTGTGATACTCATCTTTTAAATGAGGCCGAAAATTGCCATCTTAGAAATTAGAGTTGAAGCAGGGGAGCTAGATTTCTGGAGAGATTTTGGAGAGATGCTAGAGCAACCCCAAGAGGGTTTTGCATCACCTAGAAGACAGCGTGACTGTTACACTTTGATGAAGGGAATTCATGGTGGATCCATTGCCTCTCTGTGATAGGTTATAGGGTAAAAGAAGGTGCTCTCTTTGTTAGGGGCCTCTGGTCTCCTTCAGATCTTTCACTCTAATGTTTAATTCATCAGGTAGCCCAAAGACGGTTTGTTCTGTGATCCTCAGGAGAAGAGACTAAATTTAATCAGAATGGTCTCTAAGCTCTTAGAAACCCATTTTGTCCAGACTGTTGTTCTCAGAAATCCTAAGAGGCACTTCAAGAGGATGCATTCTTGTTCGGACAGTGCTTGGAACCCACTTCAAATCCACTTCTTTATCTTACTCATGCTGCCTAAATTTTTTTCTTGTCATCGTTCACCTCATTCTTTCCCCAACTTCACTTATCTAGGTCTATAGTTTTCCTCACTCTGCTTCTCCCGTTTCTCTCACCTCTCTCTCTCATTGCCAGCCCCTTCCAACAAAAGCTCTGTAACATGACTCTCCTTTATTTGGCCTTATTGTGTGTTCAGAAGGCCTGCCTTCACAGATCTTGGACAGGGATCGAGGAGAGGTAAAGTGGGGGCAGAACCTTTTCTCATATGAGATATGGGTAAGGGATAGGAAATACATAATGGCAGCAAGAAAGGTCCAGAGAATAGTTGAATATATTAAATCTGAACTTGAAATCTGACAAGTCAAATCACACATGCTTCCTATGGACATGTGTTATATAGAAATACCCTGTGAAGTCTGGGTGTGAAAGGAACAGGGCAGACCCTGACTGAGCCAGGCTAAAATGGACCATCAGAATGAATTAAATTCACAATAATGAAAATATTTATGAGCTTAAAAATATATTACTTAAATTATGGTCATAAATTTGTACTTCTGAACACTGATTCAAAATATTTGCTTAAAATAGGAGGTAAGGTTTGGCAGCACAGCTATTATTGCTATCTCTTTGGCAAAGGTATAGAATAGTATAAGTTTATCTTAATAGAAAGCTCTGTGGATATGTTGCTAGCATATACTTGGGCAAAAAGAATAGGGTTCCAACCGTACACGTTAAAAAAGTCTCCCGAAACTTTTCAAATATTTATGAGATTCAAATTTCAAACTCTTCCTTCAGTTATTTATTACATATGTGTTTATGCATTAAAATATTTATGAAAGGAATTATTATATCCTTCGTTGATTTGCTTGGCTTTGTAATGTGATTCTGTAAGAGAGGCTAAGGATATTACCATGGAAACAAGGTTAGAATTGTAATCTCTTGTCACGGAGATATGTTGAAACCCAGGATAGAAGCTCCTGTCAGAAGTTAGTGCCCTGATTTAGCACGGCGCCGTGACAGTACCTTGAGAGCTAGGATATGCTTTTCTTGATACACGATTGCTATGGAAAGTGTAGTAATATCCGTTTTCATTCCTCTGAGAGAGCTAAAATAGGTGTAAACATGGTTTAATAAAAGATGTAGGGTACTTTCTGGAATATATCATAAAAACAGCCAATCTGTCAATCTACCTTGGAGTTTTAAAAGTCAGATACATTGACACCTTTTCATAATACTGCTGCTGGAGCATACTCCTATATCAGGCCCTTCTTTTATAGTATTTTTTATTATAGGGGGCAAATTTTGCTTTGGGATAGAGCTATAAATTTATGATAATGGGCTTCATCTCTGTATTTTAAAAAGTTAGAATTTCAACATTTAAAGTCTTGGTTTAATTCTAAATGAAGACTTAAAATGCTGCCAGTGCCAATGCTGCCAGTGCCTCCACTTGCTTTCTGGGTGACCTTGGACACATTACCTGCCTTTTCTAAGTCTCAGCTGTAAAATGGGGGTACTGTCTACAGTTATTGAGTTGTAAGAATTAAATGAAATAATGCATGTGATAATGCACTTAGCACGGTTCTTGGCACATTGTAAATGATCAAAAATGGTGGTTATTCATAGATTAAGAAAAACAAAACTCAGGGAGCTCAAATAAGCATTTGCATATTAAATGTTAATTTGAAAATGCTTAAGGTTTAGCTTCGACCAAAACAGATTTGCATGTAAATAAGTGAAAAATAGCAAATGAAGCATCAGAGGGAAATGAATAAAATAGTTGTTTTTATGTGCATTGAGTAATTATCTGTTATATCTCAGCAATCACGAAAGCAGCAGAAACATAAAAATTGTTTGAGAATGGGATCTGATCTGCCTGGAAAACTCTGGCTACCAAAAACATGCAAGAACTCTAAAGGGGAACCTCTATACAATTCAGTAATTATAATCATTTTAATTACAAGGAAACATTCTTTTTTTGTACTCTGATTATGATTTCCCCATGGTCCGAACAATCTTGTGACTTCCCAGAGAGTCTCCATAAAATTAATTACAATGAGCAAGATCAAGTTTTTTTTAAGGACCAATACATTTGTTTATGAAACTTCTGGTGAATCATAATGAGAAGCTGTGCAGTCTTAGTCCTTTGTACTGACACAGTAGGTGTACTCCCTGAAATATCTTAGATTTATCACCTTGGTTGTACCAGTTAAGCTCAATCATCAAAATGCACTAATCATATGCTTTTAATATTTTGATAACAGTAATAAATACATGCTACCAAAAAGATATGCTAATCATTTTAGGGCAGTTTTTTTTTTTCTCTCTCTCTCAAATAACTTTGACACCAGTTCTCTTAGATATTTCTCTTATCCCACATGTGCAGTAGAGAAAACTGAGGCATAAAAAGTTTAAGTAACTTTGCTTAAGTCAGAGCCAGTAAATTGCAGAGCTCGGAATGCAAAGCCAGATAGTCTGACTATAGAATCTGACCTTGTAACCATACCCAGATAGTCTGACTATATAGAATCTGACCCTGTAACCATTATGATAAATGCCTCCCAACAAAGTTGAGAAGCATCAACTTCCCAACTCGGTCACAAGGCATATTGGCATGGTGGCATGGTTAAAGGTTTTGAGGAGTCCACAGGGAAAACAAAACACACACATGCAAAAACATTTCTCTCTGTTTCACCCATTATTTCTCACCCTTAATTGACCACAGGTTCTTTTTCCCTCAGAATCTCTAGAAACATTTGGTAAAACAGATGGTGAGAAAAACATTATGCTGATGCATGAACAGGGTTCACATTTCAGTTCACTTGATATAGTTACATTTTGTTGTTAATCTTGTACCTTAGTTATAAGAATCATGGGCTTTATGGCTGGACTATAAACTGTTAAAAACATATTCCAACTTTCTTGTTTTGCAGAAAATTTAAATAACTTACACATGTTCCACAGTAATAAATAAAAAGTAGAGGTAATAGCAAGATCCATAACTACCGATAAATGTGTACTGAGTGCTTACTGTATGTCAGGTACTGTACTACACATTTCATATACTTTTGTCTAAGAGAAGGAAGTAAATGTCATCATCTTCTATCAGATGAGAAAAATAAGGCACACAGCTAATGAGCAGGGAAACTCGGGTCTGAATCTCAAGCCCCTGCTTTTAACAACTGTGTATAATGAAAATAACAAACTGATAATACCCTTAGGAAAGGAAAATGGAAGGTAGACAGCATGTGATTGGGATCTGAGGGACGTCTCATCACCTAGAAGAACTGCTGTAGAGAGAGATGTAGTCCATGTACCCAGTTGGGGTACTAAACACAGTTTCCCATAGAAACATTGCCGTACATGATGCGTAGATAGATATTCAACAAACATTAAAGTGCCTCCTATGAATCATTGTACTCCTAGAAACTTCTAGAGTTCCTGGCATTTATAAGCTAATCTTAGCACTTAACCCCATATTTAGCATTTTTTTTGAATAGAAGATTTATGTTCCGAACAGTCAACCTAAAAAATATTTAAAGTGCAACTTGCTCATGGCTACTTACTGTCTGCCTTGAAAATAATGGAGAAATCATTCTTAAAAGAACTTATAACCATTACCATATGAACGATTTAATTTTAATATATGCATGTTGGTGTGTAGTCTATAGGCATGATCGTGAATGTTTTCAAAATCTGGATCTCCAAACTTCTAGAGATAAATGAAGTTGCTTATGAATGTGGCTAGTGGAGAAGAAAGTCAATTTACATAAGAATATAATCATATTCATTATGTTTGGGTGGCTTCATGATTTATACAATTTATATTTACAAGCTCAGACTCTGATGAATGCAGGTTTTAAAATTAATTTCTCATGAGTGATAGTAGATGAAATCTGTCAAGAACTCCACATTTTCAATTGTGCTTCATTAAAAGCAATGAGGAAGAAAGTAGTGTGTGTGTGTGACAAGATGTTAGCCCACTTCTAATTTTAATATTCACATTAGGCAATCAAGCAGACTCACTAAATATTGCTGATAAATTACAGGCAATGTTAGCAAAGACATGTATTATTAGCCTGTAAAATTCCGCGAACTAATTCTGATGTGGTACAGTGTTTTAATGGGACTGCCGTTTTTAAGTGGCGAGAGATGAGAGACACCGATCTTGGCTACAATTTTAGAGTAGAATTTTCTTGGGCAAACTCTATTTTATTTGTGGGGGTGTCAGTTGGGAGGAGGATAATAGTATACAGGGCTCACATCATAGGATATCTTAGAATGGTTCTCTAAGTTCTTGTTTAAAAATTCAAGTTAGAACTGCTTGAAATGGTGACAGAGAAGCTTGACTTGTCATTCAGATATGGGACTTCTACACACCTTCTAGTGTGACGTCTTTTCCAGGGTCCTCATTTCGTTATGCTCTGTCTCATCCTGCAGAGTCTTCAAATGCAACGTTGCTGACCAATGCAGAGAAGATTGCCACCATCACCACCACACACACCCCCTCTCAGCAAGGGGTCCAGGAGACCAGGTCAGACATGGCTTTGGTTTCTTTTGTTGGTTTAAAGGGAAAAAAGTAACTCTTGGCATGATGACATTCATCCTTGGTTCTTTCTCAGTTTCCCCACGGGTTGCCCTTACGTTTATTTCTCTCACTTTGGCAGGAATACCACCAAACCAAAGCCGGAATCTCAGTTTGAGTTCAAAGCACCCCAGGCAACACAGGTGAGGGCTGTTTCTCTTTCTTCTCTTTTTGCTTTGTATGCTTCCTTCCAACTTTCTGAGGCTGCTTTTATGAGGCATCTTTTACAAGGTACCCTCAGTTAAAATAAATAACCTTTTGTGAGAGGATATACTAAATACGTACTTACATTTGGTTGTCTAGGAAGTGACATTTTACTACCTTTGAAAAATATTCCTAGATATCCAAACAAAATAAAAGCCAAAATTGGCGATCAATGGAAGAACAAAACAGCTGATATCTGTTTGTGGTATTCATAATTATATTTATGCCAATAAAATGTCTTTTTCTTAAGGTGTTTCTCAGGCTTGTGAATTTCAGGTGGGACCCATAGAGCTAAATACTTGTCTCATACGATGGTAATGAGGGTGCACAAATAATAGCAGGTGAAGTAAATTTGGGAAACACTGGATGATATAGTTAAATAGGTTCCTTTTTTTATTGGTCTTCTCAGAGCCTTTTGTTATCCTAATGATGGATACTGCTGACATTTTTCAGGCATGGGGAAGGGAGGCTGAACATCCAATAACGTGCAGGATGGTATAATGTAACGAATTTTCCTTCCGTGAATGTGAATTGCAGCCTCACTGGTTACATTTTAATATATGCATTTGGTGCAGTCTATAGGCGCACTCATAAATGTTTTAAAATTCTGTATCTGCAAACTTCTAAGGTTAATGGATATTAATAAACAATCGAGGATCACCAAGAGGGGGATAGCGATTGTGCCTTTTTTGTCAAATCAGCATAATAGAAAGTGTAGAAGAGATGGAGAAAAATATGTGTGGATATAAGTTCTCCTAGAATGATTACATTTTATTTCTTGAAATAGGATCAAGATTTTTACACTGTGGAACTGGAAAGAGGAGCCAAGGGATTTGGCTTTAGTCTTCGAGGGGGCCGAGAGTATAACATGGACCTTTATGTTCTGCGCTTAGCAGAGGATGGTCCTGCAGAAAGGTGTGGAAAGATGAGGGTAAGTAGGAAAAGGAGTCTGGAGTAGATGTAAATATGTCCTCTGCAGTGACTTTTTACATTATATAGCTAGAACTTTCTTGATCATGAGAAACACATTTCCTATAGCTTTCACAACATTCTAAATGCATGACGCCCACCCTACGGTAAATTTCTCCCTGAAGCATAGTTAGTTGTAGCTGCTAAAGTTAGGTGATCCCTTCCAAATCATTGGAGTTGAATGAAGGATTAAAATTACTTACAAACTTATTAAAGTAAATATTTTCCAAATCCCATTTCCATAGTTGTTATACTTAATCTCACGAGGCAGACACATCACTTCACAGGAATTCCTGGGTGTACCAGGATGTTCAGAAAGCAGGAAAACCCTGTAGTTCTATAAGTTTTGGGTGGTGGGCTCCATTCTGTCTCTAGCTAGTCACCAACCATCTTACCCTGACCTCAGGAGCATGTTGACTCTGCCTCAGCAAAGGGTCACTTACTCCATGGCGTGAATATTCAGGGTTGCTCTGTGATAGTCAAAGCTGCAAGTTTTAAATACACAAATGCCAAGAGTCTACTCTGCTCTGTTTAGATATTTCATATCTGTTACTGTGTATGAATGTGTTGATCTCCTGGCGGGTTAGATAATTAAAAAAAGAAAAGTCATTTGCTCATTATAGATAGGTCACATAGATCAAGACATACATATAGGGAGCAATCTGCAAAGAATTAAAAGAAATCAAAAGTTAAGTCAGGAAAGGAAAAAAGCGAATGAAATTGGGCCAGAACAGAAAAAGGAAAAAAGCGACCAAGAGTAGGGAACTTAATATTTGTACTTAAGACACAATCCTTACTTTTAAGTTTCTTCAGATTGAATTTTTTAATGAGCTTTTTTAAAATTAGGAAAGTAGATATGTAGGTGGTTTTAAAAAAAAATTAAACAGTGAACAATGGTACATAATAAAAGGTAGTTTCCAGTGTCAAACTGTATACTAGTTTCTTATACATTCTTCCTTGATGCATTTCATGCACAATTTGTGCATATACAATGCAGTAGTTAGAGGAATGTATTCATTTTGTTTAAATTTCAAACAGATGGAATATGCTTTTCCATGTCTTTACTCACTTAAGAGTTTCTAATTGAATGAATTACCATTATCACGATATTTTTTATAATGCTGAATAGATCATAAGATGCATTTACATGTATTATCTGATTTGACCCCCTCAGCTTGGTAGGCATGGGGTATTATTACCTCCTTATACAGATAAGGGATCGATCGCCAAGAAGTTAAAAGAACTTGAGCAAGACCCCTTAACTAAGAAGTGATAGGACTCAAATTCAAGGCTTCAAAATCCAAAGCTAGTGCTTCTCTTCCACCTCCTGGAATATATTAGCTCCATGAGAGCAAGGATCTGGCCTGTCTTGTTCACTCCTTTATCTGCTGTGCCTAAAATAGCAGCTGACACATAGTAAGTGCTGCAGTCATGTATCAACCAGGATTGCGATCTCCTCTGAAGGCTCAGCTGGGAAAAGATTTGCTTCTAAGCTCATCCACAGGGTCACTGGCAGGATGCAGTACCTCTTGGGCTGCTAGCCCCAGCCCTCCATCATTTCCTTATCACGGACTAGGGCAGCTCACATCATGCATCAGAGTGAACAAGCGAGAGAACAAAAGAGGTCAAGGAAGACAGAAACCAAAATAATTTTGTAACCTTTTCTATGAATTGACCTCTCATCACATTTGCCATGTTCTCTTTGTTAGAAGCAAGCCACTAATTTCAACCCACATTCAAAGGGAAGGAGATTACACAGGATGAATACAAAGAGGTGGGGGTCATTGAGAGCCATCCTAGAAGGTGCTTACCACATCCTCCTTCCTTCAATTAATATTCCCCTTACTTCTTTATTATTTTTTTATTAGCACTGACACTATCTAACATACTTGTATTTTTCTAATTTTCTTGTTGTCTCTCTCCCATTAGAATGTCATCTAAATGAAGGCAGGAATTTTTGTTTTGTTCACCGCTGAATCCTAAGCAGTAGAAGATTTCCTGGCATTTATTCAATAAATATTTAGTAAATCAATCAATATAAGAATTTTAAATCATAAAGCACCTCAATAGCTGGTGAAACCCTTTTGTGATCTTTGTCCTTTCTTGCTTTGGGCAGATTGGTGATGAAATTTTAGAGATCAATGGTGAAACCACCAAAAACATGAAGCATTCTCGGGCTATAGAACTGATTAAGAATGGTGGCCGCAGAGTGCGTCTTTTTCTGAAGCGGGGAGACGGCTCGGTACCGGAATATGGTGGGTCAAACTATGAAAACATTCCTTCCTTCCCTGGCATGACTCCATGAATTTGTCTCCAGAACTGCAGCAGGAAAGTCTTTTTGTTTCCCCTATTCACCAGTGTCTTACCAGCCTTTCGCACCATGTGATTATTTGCCTCGCTTGTTCTGAAATCTCTACACATTTCATCCTTTTGCTTGCTTACGTGGACTGGGGCATGGCCTAAGACAAGATCTTTATAGCCCCCTTTCTGATAATCAGAGAGAACATTTTGTCTAGTCCGACCAAGAGCGAAGGAATGATTGTTTGAACTGTGCCAAACTGTTTCTCAGATCCAATTGTTAGCACAAAATGACTATACTCCTTTTAAGAAGCAGGAAAGCAGGTTTCCTGAGTGATATGTTGAGGCACAAATCTTTTTCTTTTTCTTTTTTGGTTACTTGATGTCTTAAGAGACGTGAAATTTTGAGATAATTTGGGGGCCTTGCTCACCACCTTTATGCTTTGTATACAACACTTCTACATCCCCCCCACCCACTGATCTCTACCCCAAATCAGACCACCTGAGCCCACTGCTATAAAACAAACAAAACTGTTGATATGTTAGCCATATGTTTTTAAATGATAAAGGATGAACTAGATTCCCAGTGCTCATCATGAGGGAAACACATTACTATACCTTTCCTGTGGGGAAAGCCAGGTTATACATAAAGTTCTTTTGTCATATCTGTAGACATGATTTGAGTAAACAAACAGCAATGATCTCTACATAGCTTAGTGTCCTGATGGCAAAATATTGTATATTATAATAATTATGTCCTGTTTATTTGAGATTCTTGTTTAAAATTTAAAAAAAGAAAAGCTATGCCCTAGATGTAGGGCTTTTCTTCCCAGCCAAAGGTCTACCAAAGTTTCTATAGAAACTGTGATTGAATCGTCCCCATATACGTCAGTCCCCTTTATTAGGGATTTTATCTGTCACCCTCTTTTCTGAAAGTCATTCCGCACAATTCCCAGTTGCATTTTGGACTTGATAAGATCTTTAATTCAGATGCAGCTCAAAGACAAGGGTAACTACTATGAAGGACAACCTTCCCAGGTGTTGGACATTAATACAGGTGCAAAACATAAGGGGCCCATGGAATGGGGAGGTGGGTATCAGATGAGGCCCCTTTAGACATGGCCAACCACAGGGGAGGTATTTTGACAACAGTAAGGTGTTACAGCTGTGCACTGTACTAAACCACTGATAGGTGTATGGATGCCACTGAAACTGTGTAACGTTGTCTCCCTTTTCTGTCTTCCCTATGCTTCTGTTGGATGTGATATTTCATTTGAGAGTCACCGTCAGTAACCTGTGTACCTTCTCAAAACCTCTGTCTCTTGCACTGAGGATGAAAATCCAACACTAACAAATGTTCTTTGGGCTAAAAATAAAGATCATTTACTCGGTTTTCCAAAAGGGGTTGAACATGCCAGGGTTGTGCTGCTGTAATGTCTCCATGTATCATTTGGACTAAATCTCTCTAATTCTATTGATTAGAGTCACAAATGGGTTATAATATGTTAAGTTCCAATATTTTTCTGACTTGATTGGAACCTGCTTCTCTGTGAGGCTATTTTTGTAATGAGTTTTTTGTACTTAATTTAACTGTCGCGGTCTTTGGGGGAGGGGGAGGGAGGGAACTTTGTTCTTTTGTTGTTTATTGTTAATGCTCTCCTATGCCAGCCTGTCATTGTTCCAGTTGTTTGAAGAAGAAAAAAAAAGAAAAAGAAAAAAGAAAAAAGGATGCATCCATTGTCTGGGTCCTCGAGTCACCTTATATGGCTGTCTAAATATTTCGCTGTTCTGATTGCGGTCTCTGCAGCCTTATTTGAGTGTTGCCTTAGACTGTCTGACTGGACAAATAAACTCTCTTTGCCCTATGTTAACAAATGCAGATTTTTTTTTCTTTCCTCTTTGTTATAGGGAATCTAAATGTTCAACTTTTTCTCTTTCTCTCTTTCTCTTTCTCTCTGACTGTTCTTGGTGCTGGGCCCTCCCTTCTACAGCGATGATACCTCCTAATATCGCTGCATGTATGAGAAATGAAAAGCTCGGGGAGGCTTGCTTCTACCTTATGGGCCATAATCAAACTACGGTTTGTAGCTCAATCAATACTAGGTGTTTCTGTGCTGTGGCCTAATTTCCTCATTGCTTCTGCTTAGCTCTATTTTGATATGTTTGGCAATTCATTCTGAGCACCCTGCGTTCTTTGAATTGTAAGTACACCGCTGACCCTGTTGAAGTCTTGCTCTCCCTTATCTTAAAAGTAGGTATAAGAAACCCCAAGGTTAGATTTACGATAGTGATCTAAGCACCTTCACTCACCCACATCTTAAAATAACTTTGTGTTAATTATTATAGCCTACCCAGCATTTAGAAAGAACAAACCTCACATCACAGAGCTCTCACCTAGGTAGATACGGTTTTGCTAGACAGGAAGATGAGATTTCCTGTTTGATCAGTTATCTCTTGACTAAGGGCAGCCCACGGGCCAAATCCTGTCCACAGCCTATTTTTTGTAAGTAAAGTTTTAGTAAGTAGTACATAGCCATGCCCATTTTTTAATGTGTGTCTAAGACTGCTTTTACACTACAGTGCCAGAGTTGAGTAGTTGTAACAAACTGTGTGGCCCGCAATGCCAAAAATATTTATTCTTTGGCTTTTTACAGAAAGAGTTTGCCAACCGCTCCTCAATGGCTATATTTCTGTTTTTGTTAACACCCACTCAAGGTTCTGGGAGATCATTCATGAAACAGTTGCTTGTTGCCTCATGAAAGATCCTTAAAGAACATCCACTTCATCTCTGTGGCTGTCTCCCTGGTTTTCCCTCCACACTGCAGCGCACCATTTCTTGTGCCTTGCCTAAAAGTATATAATGTGTATGACTTAGTGGGTTTAGTTGTAACGAAACACTCCTGCTTTAAAAAGAACTCTCATAAATTTGGGACACTACCTAAAACATCGTCAGTGTTATTTTCAATAGTTTAATAATACATAGGAGCCTTGTGGGTTACCCTGCTTTTAAATCTATAGATGTCTTGATGTGGTAAGAAGCAGTCCAGTGACTCCATGGCTCATAGATGTAATTATGGCTGCTTCGTACAGCATAAAGAAAAGTGCCTCTAAACTTAGAGACTTAATCTGAACTCCCGATGTCAACTGTGTACCTGACAACCTCCCTTCCACTCCCTTTTATCTGTCAGGAGACTCCACATTTTAAAAACAGTTTCTTAATTGTATACAAAAGTAGAGAAATAGTTGGATAACATGCACAAAGGCAAAGAGAATGTTTACTGGACCCTCACATTCATGTCACATTTGCAGTCACCAACATCTGGCCGTGTTGCCTCCATAATCTCCTTTGCCCACCACCCTGGATTATTTTTTTAATAGAAATATACTTTGCATACAGTAAAATGCATAAAGCCTAAGTATAGAGTGCAGTGAGGTTTTTTGTTTTTGTTTTAACCTCTGTGTGCACACATTTAATTACCACCCAGATCAAGACATAGACTATTTCCATTCCCCCAGGTCAATAGCGCAGATTATTTTTAAATTAAAACACAAGTATTCTTCAAAGGAAAGAATATTTTCTTTCACCAGTGCATGGGAGGGTGGGAAAGGGAGAAGGGTGGTGAGTGGGAAAAGAAGGGATAAAGTGGGGGAAGTTCTGATACTTCTAGACAGACTTGAGGTTGTGCCTTTATGGAGTAAAATTGTGACTGTTATAAATTCTTTAATGATCTATGCCTTGAGTATAGAGAACAGTGGGCTAGACCCTGAAAGCCACAAACACTATTGTTTAACCCTAACTAGCTGCAGTTATACTTATCCAAGACTCAGGTGGCTTCGATCTGACTGCTTTAACTGTGTGTATGTTGTGACTAATGAGATCTCACGTGTGGGAGTGGGGACAGGAGCCGAAGGTCCTTCCTCCTCGACTGACTGCCGCTCTCCTCTCCTTTCCTCGCAGACCCCGGCAGCGACCGGAACGGCCCCTGCGCCGGTGCACAAGGGGTTCCGGAAATGAGGTCCGGGCCCGCCGACCGCCGGCCGCACCCGTCCCTGGAGTCCAGTTACCCACCCGATTTTCACAAATCATCACCACATGGGGAAAAGCGGGCACACGTGAGAGATTCCAAAGGCAGCAGGGAGTACAGCAGACAACCCAACGAACATCACACATGGAACGGAACTTCTAGAAAACCGGACAGTGGGGCTTGCCGACCCAAGGACCGGGCACCAGAGGGACGAAGAGAAGCACAGCCTGAGCGGATGGTGACCAATGGCCCCAAGAGACGATCTCCCGAGAAGCGGAGGGAAGGCACCCGGAGCGCTGACAACACTTTGGAGAGGAGGGAGAAGCATGAGAAGAAAAGAGAGAGTTCTCCCGAGAGGAGGCGAGAGCGGTCGCCGACCCGCAGAAGGGACAGCTCGCCCAGCCGTCGGAGGAGGTCTCTCGAAAGACTCTTGGATCAGAGAAGATCTCCAGAGCGAAAGAGAGGGAGCTCGCCCGAAAGGAGAGCGAAATCGACCGACCGGAGGCGAGCAAGGTCCCCGGAGCGGAGGAGAGAGCGGTCACTTGAGAAAAGGAACAGAGAGGACAAAGTCAGCCACCGAGAAAGGGAAGAGACGAGTCTGAAGCAGGATGCCGGCAGAAGTTCCAGACATCCCCCAGAGCAGAGAAGGCGACCTTACAAAGAATGTAGCACCGACCTCAGTATCTGAGTTCTGAGTCGCATTCCAACCTTTACCGTGTCAAAGGTTCTAAGAGGAAGGTCACAAACCTGAAATAATTTAGTTTCTTACCTGATGAAGCATCTGACACCTGATGATCCTATAAATAGCAACAAACACTTTATGCATTCGAAATCTTAAAAGAAAAAATATATATGAAAAGTGTTGTGCCTGATGTATAATATTAAAGAAAGTATTTTTAAATGCATACTTTTTTGGAAATTATTTGCCAAATGCTGCCCCAAAGGGATATAAATTTTGTTTCTACATAAACTGTAGACTTGTCAAGAATTGTTCCCTTATTTTGGGCAATCTTTTTCTCTCCTGGTTAAATAGGGCTGTTGATTATTTTCTGTAAGTAAGGGAAATTATTGACTACATTTAATTAATTTGATATAGACTTATGTAATGATGTAGTGCTATACTGTAGTTAGGAGTTTTTCTTTAAAAAAAAAAGGCAAAAGTTATATTTGTAAAAGCTGAGGACTCTTTGGAGTGGGTTAGGATTGCTGATGATTTTAAAATCAAGCAAACTGTATGAAGAGACTACTATTGCAAATGAAGGATATTTATAGCTAACCTATACAGCACAAAGAAATGTTATGTTTTTGGGTCATAGTCTGTACTCTTCCTGGCCATACAAAGGCACAGAGAGGAGAAAGTTGGCCGCCGTTACCCAAATGCAGCCCGAGCACAGATGGTCAGGTTCACTAGCATTACTAACATCTAATAAGATCTCATTAAGGCAGTGCCATCACAGCTTTGCTCAACTACTAGAAGGAATGGACAGCAAATACCTTCTGTGTTGTGTTGTGTTGTGTTGTCTGATTTGAGACTGAGTAGTTGAGAGAATGGGGGATAATATGTCCAGTGTGAAGGAGTTACAGAAGTCCCCGATACAGAAAGTATGTTTCCCCTTTTTAGCATAAGCCAGTGGTTGCCCTTTGCCAAACTGGAGAGGAGGGAATGAGCCTCGGTGGAAGTTACCTCTCTGTTGATATTTAAATAAGTGAGAATTGGAGACGCTTAGTCTTAGAAATGCCGATTTCCCTCCCTTTAAAACCTTAACAATGGTCTCCAGTATGTGAAAGGGAAAAAAGGCCACAAGCCCAGGGGTTTCAGATCTGGTTGACAAACTCTGCCCTCATGACCCTGTCCTTTGAATTTTTGGACAGCAGAGCAAAACATAACGATTTTTCTTTTTTAAAAACCTATTATTTTGCGATCCCATGGAAGGTGTGGTTGGGTCGGCTGTAGCCCCATGATGTGATTGAAATGGATTACTGCCTAGCTGAGCCAAAATGTTTGCTCGTACCTGTTGGATCACTACAGCAAACCATTGCTTACAATGCATTGTATATTTCTGTAGTACTATTTTGCATTTTCCGTACAGTCATAAAACTTTGCAAGTCAATCACTGTTGTTCTCATGGTACTGCTTTAAAAAAAAAAGGAAAAAAACGGAGAAAACCAGCCAATCGTTGTGTACAGAGTTAAGAATTGTAATTAATAGAGCCTGTTTAAAAAAAAAAAGCAACTGTTGCCTTTTTTCTTGTATAAAAGAGAATTTATGACTAAAAATTTAGCTGTGAGGAATGTGATACGTGTTTATATTTCTGAATATGGAACAAATTGATTCATTGGGATATATTTTAATGTGAACTAAATCAGGTATGTAAAGCTGTTTTAAAATGGGAGACTATATAAGTAATTCTCTAAAGCTTTAGTTGGATTGAATATCATCATATCCTCCATGGTGAGCCTGCTTGTGAATTATTAAGCATTTGTTTGCATTCTCTTCTTCACTCACTTTTTGCAGTGTGCTATGGACTTAATGCTGTTTCTGTATTGATGAAAAGCAGTATGTGGGCCAATCTTTTTATAAAACACTATGCATATATAAATATTACATTGTTCATAGCTTTATTTGACTTATAGGTTTATACATGACATTAAACTGAGTATCTGTGGTTGTGTGGGCATTCACAAAACAAGTTCCTTTCCTAGAACAGACACAATGAACATTCTATAACTAAAAAAGAGGGAAAAGTCTGTGACTGCTATTTGTATCAAAGTTTTCCATACATAGCGTACTTTGAGCTGTAGTAGTAATGCTGAGGGAGAATACAACTGAATAATGATATTCTTTTTCACCCATCTCTTCAGAGCCAACTTGGGGATTTTATTCCTAAGATTCCACTGCTAGGAATTTTCTCACTATTTCTAGCAAAATCTGTGATATTAAATGCTCAGTGCTCTCAATTGTAGTCTACAGTTTTAAATAAATGAAATCAAGATGGATTTTTGGAGTACATCCTAAAGTTAATATATCGATGTCTTTCTTGTCAGAGATGACACATGACTTTTTTAAATCTATGTGCTACCCACCTGGGCTTGTCTCAGTCTGTGAAGACTTTTGGTGTGGCAATTTCGTCTGAATTCCACACGTCAGATTTGCTTTGGAAATATTGTACTGTACAGGGACTATGCATTAAGCAGAAAGATATAGTTTTCTCCGAACTACTGTAACCTTAAATTGGAGACTGATTCTTGTGAGCCTACTTCCCTAGTCCTCCGCTTCATGTAAATGTCTTGATGAGAGATGGCGAATGAGTATTTTGTATGATTAAATCAAACAATTTAGGAATTTCCCTCTCACCCATTACACAGTTGATGCTTGGAAGAATGTTGGGGGAGAACTCAACACCCTACTTGTATTTTTTAAGTTTCTTTTGTGAAAGATTTTTTAATGCATTTTTACTGTAAAAATACATGGAAATGTATGCATTCCATAACCACTATTGCTTCTGGATTGATATCTTTCTTGTCTGCGTGTTGTCTGAAATGTATCAAGGTCAAATAATCAACTGAGAGTGTCTGGCTCCAGCTCGATGAAATATACCATTCTGTTGAAAGAGAAGGAATTATGTCTTTGCATTAGTTTAGTGCCTTGCTACTCAAAGTGTGGTCTGTGGACCAGCTGCCTCATCAACACTGCAGATCCTATTAGAAACGCAGAATCTCAGGCCCCACCCTAGACCTACTGAGTCAGATTGTGCATTCAACAAGATACCCTGCTAATTCATATGCTCATGGAAGTTTGAGCAGTGTGGTAGAGCATGAAACCCTGGTAATAAAGCAAAAACTAACAAGCGAAGAGCTTTGTCACTTCCTAACTGGTCTTGGAAAGTATCTTAACCTCTTTTTAAGCCTGTTTCCTCATCTTTAAAAAGCCATGCCTCAGAGTTGGTAAGAATAACTGCGAATTGCTTAGCACACCTCTGACAATCAGAAAAATCCTCCGTAAAAGGTACCATTTTTTAAAGAAGATTTTCTGCATGGCAATCGGTATTCTATTATTTTCATTGTCCTGGTTCATTTTTCAATCAAAATAAATATTTTCTTACTCTATTAAAATGAGGAAGAAAGCCTCTATTTTAATTATAAAGTTACAATGTGGCTCACGCTACTTCACAAGTATCATTACGCTTACCAGTGTTTTAAAATATGAAACCAAAAGGCTGTGCTGTGAAAGTTAAGATAAAAATAGTCTCAAAGTATAACTCTTCGAGATAGAGATGTATGTGGAGTGAGACATACTCCTAACTAGTCATCCTAGATGAAAAGGTTAACCCATTAGTGAGTGATTTAATATCTGTCCTGGTTGATCATGTAGTTCATAATGACATTCCAATTTCTCTCACGCAATTTTTGGATTTTTCCTTCAGTATGACTTAGGGTTTTCCAGGAACCTAAAGTTCCTGGGCATTCAAAAAGGTATTGTGTTTAATATTAGGCTTTCCTACAATCCATCTATTTGGCAGTATTTTGTCGCCTACGTGGTAATTATGAACACTGCTCACTTCTCTACTACCTTTTTTTTTTTTTTCTTTTTTTAAGATAGTATCTGGAAATGGTCCCTGGCTTAACTGACAATTGGAGCAATTTGTAAAGCCCTATGTCACATAAGTTCTTTGCCCACAGTAAATAGCCACACTGAAAGGAATGCACTGTGACTCAATTATAGCTCTCAGGGATTTTTTCCTGCGTGTGGGCAGTCTGAGACCACCTTTGATGATCTGCATTAATTATTAAAAGAAGACCCCTTTCAAGTTCCTCCAAGTGATTTTTCTTATAGTCAAGCAACATCATCAGCATTGGAGAAAGGGGGTGTTGGCACAGTAAAATCCTACTACTCTTGGAATACATGTTATTGCATGCCCTGAAGAAGGAAAATGACAAAACTGGGCCCTCTTCAACACAATCCTTTGGGGTGTTTTTTGTAGGAATGGGCTTTCTATAAAAATTTTTTGACTAGTTCCACCCACTGATATCTTTATGCATTGTACTCCTTGTCAGTAGCATACTTCTTTAATGCAAGCGTTAGGTGCTCCCTGGATCCAAAGCACCAGATCTTTTTGAAAGTAGATGGATTTAAGCAAGGTAGTATTAACAGTAAATACTCAAGTATTGCATGCGACTGCTCCCCGCTACCACCTTTCCACTTAACTGAAAAGTTTTCACTGCCATGTCCCTCAAGGACGACTTGGTCGGCATAGCCTGGAACTCTGCCACGCCAATAAGCACTGTTCTTTTAAGTATATTTATCCTTCAGGAAATAAAGTCTCTCATCTCAGAGGATCATATTATTGAGGAAAATAGCTCAGAAAGGCTGCTAATTCCTACATGCATAATCGGCAAGGCTTATTACTCAATTATTCATTTTTTTCAATACATATTGAAGACTCACTCTATCAGGTACTTGGTGGGACTGGAAACACCTGCTTCCTGGTCTTGAGAGCTTATAGCTTGGTGGCGGAAGGCAAATAGATACATATAAACCACATACCAAGCAGAGTGCAGAGTCCTATGAAGGTAATAAATAGAGGGTTTAACCAGACTGAAGGTTATTCTAGAAGGCAGAGAAGGAATTAACTGATGAAAGAGGGAGGCCAGGGCCCAGACGTAAGAGTGTGGTACAAAATGGAAAAGGTTACAGCATGACGGTCAGGCTGGCTTTGTTCGGAATTGTAGACATAGAGTAACAAGAGCCCATTGAAGAGCTTAACAGGGCTCCTAGTAAGCTTCATGTGTGCTCAGGGAAGGGGTGGCGGCCATCTCTGAGCTTCAGAAAGCTGGCCTCAGGAGCAACATAGAGCAGATTAAAAGAGGATGGGAGTGAATCCAGTTAGACACTAGTGTGAGTCCACAACCGTTATCGAGAAAAGCCATCCTAAATAAGGCAGGATTCCTCAGAGCTGAAAAGTTCCCAGGCCATGTTTGTCATCCTCTTATTACAAGAATTCATTTCCTTGCAACCTAAATCCTTCCACCTCCTCACTATATCTTGTTAAAACATGCAGATCACTTTGTATCAGATTCCTTTTATTAGAGTCAATTATTTACTATTCTACCTGGTTTTCTCCAGGTTTACAAATTTCCACTTCACTACCCTATTTTTTCAAATCCTGCTTTCAAATCTTGTAATTTTGTTTTTACTTTTTTTTTTTTAGGTTAACCATGTCTTTCTCAAGCTATAGAAGCCCAATTAAATATTATCTAGCCTTTGTCAGATATTCTCCACGTTTGAGTGTTAAAGAAGGAACTGTTCCTATGATATCCTACTTTAAAAAGTAGTTTTTTATAAACTAGTTTATACTTATAGTAAAATATTCAAGCATGTCAGGAGAGTATAAAATGAAAGGAGATGCTGTTCCTTACTACTTATCAATCCCAGACCACAGAAGGAACAATTGTTAACAGCCTTTGTCAGATATTCTCCACGTTTGAGTGTTAAAGAAGGAACTGTTCCTATGATATCCTACTTTAAAAAGTAGTTTTTTATAAACTAGTTTATACTTATAGTAAAATATTCAAGCATGTCAGGAGAGTATAAAATGAAAGGAGATGCTGTTCCTTACTACTTATCAATCCCAGACCACAGAAGGAACAATTGTTAACAGTTCGGTTTATGACATTTATGATCTTTTTCAACTTATATACAAATATATATACAGTCATCCCCCTTTATCCACAGTTTCACTTTCTGCAGTTTCAGTTACCCACAGTCAACCACGGTCTGAAAATGCTAAATGGGAAATTCCAGAAATAAACAACTCATGTTTTAAATTGCATGCTCTTCTAAGTGGCATGATGAAATCTCATGCCATCTCACATGAACCATCACTTTGTCCAGCATCTCCATGCTGTAGATGCTCCTTACCTGTTAATCATTTTGTAGCCATCTGTCTTGGTGATGAGGTCAACTATCAGGGTGTTGCAGAAAAATCAGACCGGCAAGAAACCAAGCAGAGCTTGGAGAATTGGAGAACTCAGGTATATTACGCCGGAAGTCCCAGAAGAGCTAGCGCTCTGAAGATCTGGGCCGAGACCGGCAAGAAACCAAGCACAACTTGGAGAATTGGAGAACTCAGGTTTATACGCCGGAAGTCCCAGAAGAACTAGCGCTCTGAAGATCTGGGCCCCGAGCTCAAGGGTAACTTTACTTTTACAAGGCTTATCCACGAACAAGCAAAGGGGATACATCTGTTATCTAGACAGAACAAGCAAAAGGGAGGGCGAGTCTTCAGTTGATCTCGAGATCACCCTGCCCTTTGGCCTATGCAGCAATTATGTATACAGGAGCAGAACAAAGAGCTGATTCAAAGATTAGCCATTTGAGTGGAAAATTCCTCTTCGAGGCTATCACAGTACTTGTGTTGAAGTTACCCTTATTTTACTTTATCACAAGAGTTGCGATGCTGGCAATTGGGATATGCCAAAGAGAAGCCATAAAGTGCTCCCTTTCAGTGAGAAGGTGAAAGTTGGACTTAAGAAAAAAAATCACATGCTGAGATTGCTAAGATCTATGGTGAGAACGAATCTTCTATTTGTGAAATTGTGAAGAAGGAAAAAGATATTTGTGCTTAGCTACGATGGAAAAGGCATTAAATTCGTGGGTGGAAGAAATGAAGAGAGACCACATATGCGTAACTTTTATTACAGAATGTTGTGATTGTTCTATTTTATTATTATTTGTTATTGTTAATCTCTTACTACACCTAATTTATTAATTAAATTTTATCATAGGTAAGTACATATAGGAAAAACAGTATATATAGGGTTTGGTACTATCTGCAGTTTCAGGCTTCCATTGGGGGTCTTGGAATGTATCTCCTACAGAGGGGCTACTATACAGTTTGGGGTTTTGTTTTCATACAAAAAGAATGGGCTATTATGTATATACTATTTTATACACTATACCTTTACCTTATATATTATGGGCAATTTAACATGCTACAATGTGTGCGTGTGTGTGTGCATGCACGTGTGCACGCATGTGTGTAATCTCATATTCCAAACTTATTCCCATTCTCTATCTTTCCTTCTCTCTCTCCTCTCTCCTGGATTACCACAGCAGCTTTTTTACAATTCTCCCTTCCTTTACCCTTGCCCATCTAGCTACAGATTCTTCACTCAGCAGCCAGAGCGAATCTTTTAAAATGTCAAGTGAAAGTTCAGAGTCCTTACAGTCTGCTATAAGGCCCTATGTGATCCAGCATCTGCTTTTCTCTCCGATCCTATCTCACTAGTTCTGCTCCAGCTACGCCCCAGGCATGCTCCCAGCCTTACGTAGGGCCTTTGCTTTAGCTGGTTACCCGCCTGGAAAGTTCTTTCCCCAAATATTCACGGCTGACTCCCTCACTTCATTAAAATCTTTGCTCAAATCTCACTCTTCCAATGTGGCCCATCCCGACCACCCTATTTAATATTACAACTTGATTTTCCTTCTCTGTTTTATTCTTTCGCCTTCATATCACTTTTTGTTTCCCTTCCCTAGAATCTTGACTGGCTTTATAGACATGCAACCTGTGCAGTCACACGAGGCCTGCATTCAGAAGGGCCCTGGGCTTGGTTTAA